ATTACTAGGATTGGCTTATCAGAAGACCATATTGATTGGAAAGTAATAGCTTGGTTCCTTTCTTACTTAGGAATACCATCATTCCACTTTTTGTTGCCCAGCTTCAATATACTCGTGGAATTGTTTTGGGGGAAAAGACTTAAGAATGGATTTGTCACTTATGTTTTGCTGCCTGTCAAAAGCAAATATTTGGGACAATATTTTTTGGGCAATCTATTTTACCTCTGTTTTGAAATGCTTTGTTCTGTTCTTATTTCATACATATAAAAAGCTTATGTGAGAGCAAGCTATAATCCTGAAATGAGATTTTTCTTGTTGAAATTTGGCCTCATGAATGGTCGGAATCATGAATGGTAAGCTTGTTTCCCAGGCTGTATGTGTACTCACTGAAAAATGACAGCCATTTTGAACCTATTTTAGGATGAGATGAGCTGCCCTCTGCAGGTACTTATCCTAGATGGATTGTAGTAGGAGCTTTGATTCAATGCCATTTTTGATACTAAAGCTGGGTGACATGAATTTTCTCCTTGTTGATAATGTGCTTCCTTGCTTTCCTCCCATCCATTGCTTTACCCTCCCCCAAGACTGAAAGTGATTGTACTGTATTTTATGAATTCTCATGAAAAGGAAATTGTGAGAAAATATTCCCCTAATAAAACATCAGTGGCTGTATTTTAGCAAACTGTCCATGAAGTCGAACCAGGAGATTCTAATGTCCATCCCTCTGAGCCTGACAGACCTTCAGAACAACCTGCATTGCAACCTGCACTTCAGGAAACCTCAGAAATGGTACATGTAGCTTTGTGCATTCAACATCTATAGATAACTGCATGTGCATCTTTGCTGCCAACAAAATTTTAGGAAAGCTCAACTAATTATAATGCAATGTGCAAATTAATTCCTTAATCTTTTAGCCATGTAATTCCTTAACTGTTTCTTATACTGAGTTGTGATCCCTTTCTAGTTCTCTTTGCAAAACTTTGAGGTTTTAAATTTGTATTTTCCTGTGCTAACCCCCAAGTAATTAGTGCATGGTGTTAATTTTAGTTCTCCAATACCAACACAAGCAAGACTGTTCGGGTATTTTGTGTTTGTTAGTTCTGTTATATTTTGTTTTGTTGTGGGTTTTTTTACCTGCTGAAGTGATATTTCCAAGCAAGTGGAAGTGGAAAGGGAATGTGCAGGAGCCTGAGTGACCAGGCTTTCCTTTGTGGTCTTGCACTGCATTTATGGACACTTGTACATGGGGGCAGTGTGACAACAGAGGCAGACTTGGTGTGGATGGGGTTGACAGGGTGTCAAGGATTTGTAAGGTTCACCACACAGCTATTTTCCTAATGAGGGTTTTTGTATGATTGTGAAGCACTGTAGAGAAATACTTAAAGACTGAGAAACAAAACTGGAGCTCCTGTGCAGCCAGGGATGTTTGGGCCATAGCTAAAATTCTTAATTTCTAAAAACATTATGATTCTGGTCATCTTGTTAATGCTTCCAAAGCTGTTGATAAAACTTGCCAATGATAAAGAAATCTTGACACCTTACTGCATGTTGGTTGTATAAAATACCTGACCTTGTCTTCCACAAGTCCTATGCCTTATCTGCCCCAAACTGGCAGATGTAATGGATATTCCAGGGCATTTAGGCAGTCGAAGACATTGATTCCTGCCCATTAAATTCTATTCTGAAACATTTTTACCTTGAATTTGTGAAGACTTCACTAGAAAGCCATTCTTGTTGATTTCAGTTTTGTTTACAATATGAGATGGGTTGTTTTCCTATGAGCCTCTTTGAGTACTAGTGAGAGAAGGTTTTAGTGGCTGCCTTGATTAGTCCTTGTTATATTTTATCTTTATTACAGGTTATAATTGTGGGGATGTTCCTTTTTTTGCTGGCATTGGTCAACTGGAGACGCAGTTTTGCTTTTACATGGTAGAAATTATCACTAATAATGTGTCTCACATTTGTGCACCTATGATGTCTTGGCTTTGAATCAGCATTTACAATTTTGGAGTATCATTCAAAATGAACTAGCTGTTGGTATAATGAATAGTGTCCATACTTTGAATTAATTTATTAAACAATATGTCTCACATCTGCTAAATATTGATCTCACTGGATTTCAAACAAAACTAATTACCAAAAATTCTAGAAATGTATGTTCACATCAAAGCTTGTTGGAGACAAGATTTGAACAGATAAATTATAAATTCTTCCTTGTAGCAGATATTCTACTCTAACCAGGCAGTATTTGTAATATTGTCATTGTATTGTTGCTGAGTATGCCAAGATCTGAGTTAAGATCAGTAAAATAAATGTTTGGTATGTTCAAAGATGCTATGGAAAGCAGTAAAACCAAAGGAAAGTGAGGTCACATTATCAAAACAGGAGTGAACATTTAAATACTGTTTATTTCATTGTTTTAACTGGGAGTGTACAGTGCAGAAGTTTACCATTTAAGGTTTAGCATCACAGTATTGAAATAAGAAAAACCAAATGACAGTTTTCCTACTCTTCTTCTTTCCACAGAATGAGGTTGTGCATTTTGTTTCAGAGCTGTCTATTCACTTCAAACCAGCAAAACCAACTCCAGAAGATGAACGGAGGAAATGGGAGGAAGGGCGCATGGACTATATGGGGAAAGATGCTTTTGAACATATCAAAAAGAAGTTGGATGCATTTTTACACTAAGATAGGGTGTACTGTTATGCCCATCGTGATAGATTTCTTTATAAATGCAATTCTTGAATACTTGGCTGTCTTAACCAGTTTAGGTGACACCAGTTAGAAGTGATTATGGATCCTCATACATTTTTGGGGGACCTTAACAGATGCAGAATCTTGGTTTTTAACTGATAAATGTGCCTCTACTTTATTGTTACATGTGTCTCATCTTCATTGTTCTTACACAGTGCCTTCTAAAGAATAATTAATGGTACCTTCTGAGTATAAACTCTCATATATTTATCACTCTTCCCTGATGCACCCCATCTGCAGAAACAGCCATGTGTAGGAAACATGCTGGAAGTTGAGATTGTTTTGGAAATTGAATTTCTCCCAAACTGAGATTATTCCCAAAGTACCTTCAGAAGTTGCTATAAAGTATTTAAATAAAAAGAACTTATTCTTGAAACCAAATTAACACCTTCAAGGGTTACCATGATGTAGATTTCAATATGAGAAAGAAGCGATGAAATCCTGACTTCATCGGCGTCTGCAACAAAATTTTTTAATTTAAACACATTTAGGATCAGAGGAACTTCAGACTTCATCTGAGATCACTAGTGGATGCTCTACCCAGTTATAGGCAGCTGCTCGGGTCCATAACTAGTGTGAGGAAGTATGGTTTAAAATTCTTTAGACAGATTGATAATATATGTTAACCTTTTAGATTGTTGCCATAGGATACTGATGCTTTTTTAAATATTGTAAGCTTTAGTTGCATATTCTGAGTTGTGTGGTTAGAAGAAGAAACGCTGACAGTATTCTGTAAACCTTCTGGTGCTTTTTATAAATTTGTTTACAGTACTTCAAACTGCAGCTGATGAAGGCCTTCTTTGGCTTAGCATTGTTGCCCCTTACTGCAGGCAATTTGAGTGCAACTGAAAACAAAATTGGCACTCATTTTAGTAAACAGGCCCTTTGAAGATCTTTTAACAATAGCTGTGTGTGGGAACTAATAAATCTCTGAATTCCAAATTCCAGAAAAAATACCTACTGATGAGGCTGCATTATATTAAGGACACTTATGGGACAGTGTTTTGTGTATTTGTGTACTTAAGTTTGACTTATCTCAGTCAGTTTAACAAAGAAGTAAAATACCTTTTTTAAAAAGCAAAAAACTGTTAAAGAGTCTTGACATTTATGCTAATATAGATTTGACAGTTGTTTGTGACCTCATTAAATACTGGAATAAGAGTTCTGCAGTGATGTTGCAGGTCTTGAAAAGTTTTGGTCTAAATACATCACAAATTTTGGCAGAGAGATACCTAAATAAATTTCTTGGGAATTCTGTCTAAAAGCATGTACCATTATGCATAGATGCTAGCAGGAAAAACAGATAGCAGGATAGGAGGGAAAAAGAAAATTTTATTTCTTTTTCCTCCATCAAAAAGGATGAGAGAGTAGGGCAAGGAATAAATGCACAAATCAGGAAAGAGTCAAAAGGTCCCTTAAAAGAAGAAAAAATCTTTGAGTATCTTAGAATTACTTCCTAATATTCACATTAGTGAATTTACTTTCACTTTTGTAGGATATTTCTGATTTTATCCAATTCTCATTTATCCTTAAACTCTTAAATGGGGAATCCCGCTGGTGTGTCTGTTGAACACAACCTTCTAGGTCCAGTTAGGTGTTTAGGGGCAGCAGAGAAATTGATAACAGGTCTCCCTCTGCCTGACCCTGGCACCCTGTCTATCCTGTGTTCCTGGGTAGGTGACCCTCACACTTTAACACAGGTAGGTGTGTTCTACCTCTTGGTGCTGTGGCCCAGTGCAGCAGCTGCAGCGTGCCCTTACTCATGTGGCATTTGGTTATCCCTGTCATCCTTACGCACTTCTGAGAATGTCCCCAGTTTTATGAACATTGCTGCTAATATACTACTAACAGCTTTTGAAGACTGTAAAGCTGTGGCCAGCAATGTGAATTCATGCTTCATGCAGCTGTACATTTTATATTAACTACTAGATCTTATTTGGTACATTGATTAGATCATGGAAGAAAAATTACTGATGTGAAATGAGTAACTGAAAGGTTTTAAAAATAGGCATATGAATTTAGTCAAATGTGTCATTGAGTACATTTCAAACTGTTAATATGTCCAATGATACTCTGTGTGGCTTATACAATGTTTTGCAAAGAATTGTAGTACAACAATGTAATGGAAATAAAAGAAATGGAAAAGACGTATGAAGTCATGTGCTTAACAGGCAATGAAGAGCTATAGGTTGTTTACATGATGCCAGGGAATATTACTTGTGAATAACTAGTTACTTCAATTTATTTTTTAATTTTATTGAATTGCTTTTGAGACATTAGCATTATCTGCTGAGCAGAATTAAAAGTTGAGATTAATAATTATTTCTACAGACATACATAATTATAATGTTTAGGATCTCTTGTATTAGCAAACAGTAGTTGGTTTATTGTATTTCATGGAAAAGTATAGCTGTTAAGAGTCCTGTCCTAATTTTTTTGTCCTGTCTTCACACATGAAAAATTCAACTAGCTACTGGTAATGTAATGTTGCAATGGCTTCTAGCACACAACTCTTGCCACCAGGATGTGAAAAGGGAGAATTTTGTATGTGAATCCAGTGCTGTGCTTCAAGGAGCATTCTGGGCTTTTATGGCCATCAGTTCTGAGCTCCTGGGTCTGAGGGGTGTTATGGGCTGCATGTGGCCATGAACCACAGTGATGAGCTTTGCTAAGTCAAAATGTGAATGAGAAATAAAAACCCACCAAGCTTCACCTGGAGTTGTTTTCCCACATTAAAGTGTGGTATAACCTCAGGTATTTTTAGGGTAAAAAAAGTTAAGATGTGTAAAGTTTTTGGTGGCACTATTCATCTTTGAACAAGGCTAAACTATGACTTAAAGTTGTGGGTAGACTTTGTGTTTAGAGAGGACAACTTGTGTTTGAAACAAAACATGCTAATTTTTCTGTTACGTGCCTGTAGGTATTCATGGCTTTTATTTACCATACAACAATTCTATTGGGTGCTCTTCGTGTATAAGAAGGAGATAGTGTGGGTGTGCCACAAGGAAAATTCTTGAAAATTTTAGACATGTGAGTTAATGACCTTTCCTAGCCTACAGAAAAAGGAGATTGGTGTTCTTGAAATATCACTTAATTTACTGTCTAGTGTTTTGTGAGGACATTTCCATCTGGGTTGTTCTTGGGAAATAAGTTTTCTTTGTCCCTCTATATCAGTCAGCTCACAGAAATAGTTTTTTAAAGCTGGTGCTCAAAAAAATGCTTTGTTTTGTTTGGTTTTCTTCACCTTGATTTTTCTATCCATGAATGGGAGGCTGGGTTAGTAGCAGGTGCTTGGGACTTTTGTGTGCTCCTATAAACAGCTCGGTTTTCACCAGTAAGTCTGCAGTATGTCTATTTATTTCTTAATGGATCCGATTCTGTTGCTTTCCTAATCTAAACTGTTTTGATTCCTATGACTTTGAACATAACATTAAATGGACCTGTTTTCTTCATATCTCATTAATTCAAATCTCATATTCCAGTTCCCCCAGTTTTCTTTTTATTAGTTTTGAGATTTTATTTCTGTGGTATGAACTTTTGTTGGTTTGGGGTTTTTTTGTTTGTTTGTTTGGTTTTTTATCAACCCAGTAAATTAGATTAAATTCATAGTAGTAAATTTTTAAATAGCCTCCAAAAATACATGTCAGTTAAGAATGCTCACTGAAGTAGTCTGCATTTTCAGCATATTGGTTGCAAAATGTTTCAGCTAAAATTTGGTTCATCCTAAGATGGGTGGCTCATGCATAGTTTATTTTGTGCTAAAAATTAAAAGCTGTGACACTCAAGTTATATTTTGCATCCTTGCATAAACTTTCATTTTGTAATAACACCATACCATAATTATATCAAAGTTAGCTGAAAAAATACAGTGATAATGATTGACTTAAACTTATATAAATAATAACTGCTAGAAAACTGAGAATTAGATTAATAAAGGGGGAAGAAATACAGTTGCAAGCATTTTTCCCTTGGATTTTACTCTGTTGTTAGAAGCCTTTCAACTTCAACAAGCTGGAGGTATAAAAACCCTAAAATTCCAAGATAGCCAGTCTCTTAGTTGTGAGTATTTTAATACTTTTCATTTAACTGCCTTGGAGAAGTGTTTGTTCAATTTTAACCAGATAATTTGTTTATTTTAGAGCAATAAGATTTTTGGAGCCTTCTCACAGGATTAAGTACTTGGAACAGAATTAATTGCATGTCATGGATGACTACCTGTTTTGTTTTGTTTTGTTTAGAGTCTTTTTTTTTTCTTTTCAAACCTCCATAAATTCTTTCTGTTTCCAAACCTTTTACTTACAGCTTTTAGAGAAATGGCAGAGCAGAAGCCAAGGTTGTTTGGATCCTCTAGTAATCCCATTTATCTCAACATGGAGAGTTGCCATTTCTATTCTGGCATTCAAGAAATCTTAGTAATGCAGTAGTAGGGTAATTCAATGAGAAACAAGGTTTTGAATAAATCTGAGTCTTTTTAGTGGAGTTGATTAGATATAACATTACAATCAAAACATCCTACCAAAATCTTCCAGGGTCGTATTGAGTTCAACACTATATATATGCCTGTATTTGTGTATATTAACCCAAAATCTGTAATGAGCAAAAGGTTTTTTGTTACTCCTTGGTTATTTATGTAAATGCCTCTCAAATATACTCAGAGGGAATTTCAAGCTGGATAAATTTTGAGCTCAAATTGCTTTTCTCAGTTTATTTGTTACACAACTATTTTGCATCCTTAGAAGATGGGATCTTGTGATCTGTGTGCTGGCACTCCCTTGAGTCGCAGCAGGGAGCAAAGCAATGTGTCTAATATTTAAACATGGTGAAGTGAGGCTTCTGAGAAGCTTATTGTCTCACTCCTGTGAGACTTGACAATTACTCTGTTGAGTCAGTCTAATTCAACAATTCCAAATGTCATTTAATAATGATGAAAGGAGTAAAGTGGAAGTCGGCTTCATCCAACATGAATGTCAAACATTTACACAGTACAGCCACAGCTCTTTCAGTAAAACAAACTTCATTTGTTACAGAGTAATACTTCCCTCTCTATGGTGTCTATATTAAACCATGTGTAGGCACATTCTTGTATGGCTTGGAGTTTGGCCAGTGGTCTCAGGTTTTCCTAACAGGTCATTTTATGTAGTCCTTGTGCCTTGCTACAAAGGGAGAAAACTTACAATTTAGATTTTATTCTTATATTAATATATTTTGAAAAATATCATTATAGATGATTTTTCAAGGAAACTGAATTGAGAATTCCTTCCTTCCTTCCAGTTTTATTCAAGAAGGTTTTGTGACAGAGTTTGTGCCTGTAAGTGCATTTTATGTGAAAGGGCTCATGAGGACACCTTGAGTGTGATGTTGTGTTCATCTGCTTTATGGGGAATATACATTTGCCAAAAGATCAGAAGAACACCTTCTGCAGAGCTTACATGTCCTTGTTAAAGTGGATACAGACAGAAAGATTTGCAACCAATCCATGGCTAGGATCTGCTTGAAACACATTAAATAATTAACTTCCTTTTCCTGCTTACCACTGTCCCCTCAAAATTTGTACATTTTAAGATACATTTAGCTTTAGATAGTGAGAGGAACTTAGGGGTGAAAATAGTTTTCTTTCCTGTCCTCTGTTTTTTGAAGTGACATGCTTCCAATTCAGGAATTTCCCATTGCTTTGCTCTCCTTCTTGCCTGCAGATCCTCTGTGTGCATTGTCTGCCCTCTCCCTCTCTGTGTGGGAAAAGCACTTTTCCTTGTGCCTGGCTGAGGTCTCCTAACAGTTGACAAAAGCAGGTTCTCTATGCTGCCAGCCCTAATTTCTCCTCCTCCTGCCTGAAAATGCCTCTGGTTTTCCACAGATGCCAGCCGAGATAAAATTATCTGTTTGGATGTCAGAAAGGCAACATGGGTATCTACGTGACTCCTTAGCATCTGACTCTATACAGCAGTTCAGCAAATTTAATTTGCAGAGGAATGAGGAATTAGACCAATGTTTAATGTTTAAATTTATACAGGGTGATTTTTTTCACAATGTGTTTAGAGGTTGAGTTCTGGGTCTTGCTGATGTACTGGCCTGCCTAGTCTGGCTTCTTGAAGTTTGGGTCTATGCTTGCATGCTGAGTGGGTGCATGATCACCATCCCACCTCCTGGTAAGTGCTCTCATCATGGCCTAGTGTGGGACTGGCATGTTCTTGTGTGTAAGTCATACAACATACTGAGTTGGAAAGGACCCAGCATGATCACTGGGTCCACCTCCTGGCCCTGTGCAGGACATCGCAAGAGTCACACCATGGGCCCGAGAGCATTGTTCCAATACTGTTTGAACTCACAGGCTTTGTGCTGTGACCACTTGCGTGGGGAACCTGTTCCACTGCTCAACCAACTTCTGTGTGAAAAACTTTTTCCTGATATTTAACTTAATGATTGGAGTGGGTGAGTGGGGAAGTCAGTGAAGCAAACTGAGAAAAAACTTATCCTTGTGTTTAACTGATAATGTAGATGCTACTGAGCTGGCTGGCTTGAGAGCTTTTGGCTTTGTTCCCCACTGAGTGGTAGGATTTGTCCTCCATCTCTGAATCAGCCAGACTGGCTTTAAAACATGTGATATTTTATGCTCTTTTCTCCCTGCATGAATTCAGTGAAATGCAGCTGCTCTGGTTTCTGTCCCTGTCAGCCACAGAGAAGTGTCAAATCTGACAAGTGTGTAGCAATGCTGGTGCAAATTTAAACACTATCAGGAAGTGAGAACAAACATATTTTTGGATGCTTCTATTAAGTGTGACATTGAGGCATCCAATCAGTTTATTTTCATGCATGCTCTATGATTTCTGTGAAATGTTTTCCATGTAACTTTCTTCTTGACCTTTTAGCGAAAAGGTGAAACGGCAAATAACCTGGAGAACTGCCTGGTCAGCTATTTAGAGACTTGCATTTGGTGTTGCATCATGGTCACAACCTATGCTGTTTAAACAGCAGTGACTCACCCCACCACAAACTAGCACACTAAGGTGTCAGTCAGGAGGTTCCCTGAAACACTGCACAGGGTGCATAATCCAGACATGCATCCTCTTTTGTCCCAAAGCTGGTGAAAGGGATCTGATGGGGCAGCTCAGGAGCTGAGAGAGAGACTTGCTATGGGCCTTCTTGTCTCTTTTGTTTCTAAAAGACAGAAATTTACACAGAGGCAACCTTGGTCCTTAATAGAGCTGCACAGGTGTGGCGCCTTGAGACAGCAAGCTTTAAGGAAACATGTCACCTGCAGTACCTGCTCTGCAGCTCTTACCATCCCTTGATACTATTTAAAGCAGGAGCTGAATATAGAGTGTTCAGGAAGACTTTGAAGTTTGAATCTGAGTCTCTTACCCACAATCTACCTTTTTGGGGGAGGAAAAAATACCGGAACCTCCATTTGAAAATCTGATTTGACACAAAATCCCTGCAAGAGCATGGCTAGGATTATATCTTGAGAGATGAATTTATTTAACCTAAGGGCAGCAAGAGAGGATTAGGTATTTTAATACCCTCCTTTCCCTTAATGACTGTACAGAGTGCTGACACTTCTTTGGCTTGGGGAAGATGACCTGTATACAGAAGTGATGAGACTGTGAGGTGAATTTTTTTTCCATACCTCCTACTGAAAACATAGTGTTGTTTCACTAAACAAAGAATATTTTTCAGGAGGTATAATGGCATTCCTATGAAATCAGGAATGAAATTCCTACTCAAGTAGGACATGCAGGCTTATGAAGTGGTCTCACAGATAGGTCGCAAATTTTGCAATCTTCTCAAGGCAGCGGGGTGATGATTTTCAATGCTCTCACAAGTGAGATGACCTAACTACATGGAAAACACATATCAGTAAGAATTGCTGTGGTTTAACATTTCAGAGTAGCTAGGTACTGTGAGGGGATAGTATGTAAGAAAATAAAGATAGTGCAGAAGTGATCTCACCCCTGAGGATTTGTAGCTGTGCCAATCACCAAAGATTAGGAACAGGCCTGCCCTTAACAGGCCACAGCTGTGTCCAATAAGAAGACAAATGCTACAAAACAGTGGGTTATGTGGTTGAGGATAGTTGGAGTTTGTTGGTTTTGCTGTGAAGGAGAAGGAGTTGGTGCTGTGAGAAGCTGCACGTGAGAAATCACGAGAAGGTATGGGAGCTGTGTAATAAGATGACAACAAGGTATTTTGCTACTGCTTCTGAGATGCTAACTTTAGCTAATTTTTAAAACATCCTTGTCAGTTGAGTTTTCCCTAGGAAATCTTGCATGACAGACAAATAAATGCACAGATAATGAGGCAAAAAAAAAGCTGTAATTTAATAGGTGCTTATTTTTGAGAGGCCAATACATTTTGGTATATTTCCAAATTAAATGTGCAATTTTATTTTTATTACTTTTTTCATTGTCATAATCCTTTCATTTTTGTGCAAAAGGTTAATTTTTCATTAAAAACATAAGGCCTAACAGGGATACCCTCTTGGGCTCAGTCCTGTTCTCTCAACAAGCATATTTCCTATACACGAGATTGCTATTGAAAATTTGCTTTTTTATCTGTCATCATTTGCTTGATTTGTAAGTCAGTAAGAAAATACATTTTGATTCATTTATTTGGTAATTAATCCTGAATTACTCACTTGAGAGATAGATTATACAGATGACCCCTAATTTTTTTTTAAACCACAGCCTTACTTAATTTCCATGGATAAGAGAAAAGGTTGAAAAAAACCATTAGTGATTACTAATGTCCCTTTTAGTTATCCCAGTATAATTTAATCTTTAATCTCTTTATGACTGTAGTCATGTGAATGTGAAAAATTACCAATTTCTTTAAAGCTAGCTGTACTTTGACTTTGGTATTAGACTATGTTTTGTTATTTTCATTACACCAACAGAATGGGAATGTGCCACAGCATGGCTGCAGCCACGGCTTCCACATATTATTGTAAGGAGAGAGCTGTTGTGGGACTGGAGTCAGAGTCTTGCGATGCTCTTCCACAGCTCCTCTCATTCTCCTCACCACAGTGTCAAACAAGGGCTCAGTGTCAGCTGAAAGAGGATTTGCCTCAGATGGATCTTGTGAGAGATTGAACAGCAGTGGAGGGTCATGATGGATTACCCCATCCCCGAAACATGGACAAATTCCTCTTCTGAAACAGGCCCCAGAGGCTTCTGGCTGAAATACTGGAGTGGCATAATGAGCTTTCCATACAGTGCCACCTGTCACAGGAGAAGCACATTTGAACAGCTTAATGTCATTAGGAGCTGGAGGGTGGTCCCTGAAAGGCTGGTTCATGTTTAAATGATCTGATTTGTTGTTCCAAGGAGAGTTTTATGTCATGGTTATTGCATACAGGGAAAAGGTGTTGTGGAAGCTGGCAGGGATTCAAGTGATTTTTGTGGTTCACAGGTACACCTTGGCTTGGGTACCGTGTGCAGCATATGGATGGTTAGCCCAACAGCTTCAGTACAGATGGAGTCTGCCACTTTCTTGTTCCCCTTTAAAACTTTTCATGCCTTTTGGAGGTGGGAAAATGGAGACTGTAGTCCCCAGTTTCTGGGTGTATCTATTGATAGGTTGTTCTTCTGGCTCTGTACATCTGAGTGAAGAAGTACATTTAGGCAGAAACTGAAGCTTATTTCTCTGCTCATGTTCCAGCACACTTCCAAAAAGGGTGGTAAGTGCAGGCCTCTAAATTCTGAAGTCTAGTTTTTAAGTTTACATGAAGAAAGCAAATAGCTTGCAGCTTCAGAGCTTGTACTTTATCAAGCTCTTCTAGTGACCCTGGGATAAGCACAGGTTTGTAACTTGTGGTGAAAAAGTGGTAAATTACTAGGACTACAGCTGAACATAGTCCTAGTACATTACTAGGACTTACATTACATTACATCAGGATATTTTACTTCTCCTTCCCTTTTCCTTTTTCTCCTATTCCTTACCGCACATTTAGAAAGCACTACACTGAACTCAGAGGCAAGGATGTACCCAGCAAGAAGACAGAAATTAGACACTATGTCTGAAAAAGGAGACAAGAAGAAAGGGGTCATTCACCAACTGGAGTTACTTCTGTGCTCAAAGCATTAAAGAGCTGACAACTGCATTGTCCCTACATGGAATTTTCTTTTTGGTTCAATGGACTCAACTGAACTTTTCTTCCTTTTCTCTCTTGTGTCCAGAGCTGTTCTTTATCTCTGGAGCCTGCAGTTTTATTCTTCAGTCTCTCCCTTGTCACTACCCTAGAACAATTATCTTGTGAATAAATAGAATTTTAAAGCTTCTTAAAAAGTGAAAGGGAACAAATAAGACATATAAAGGTTTAGGTAATATCTTAGATTAAAATATCCAGTTGCTGGCTAGCTAGCAGGTATTGTATTTCTTTATATTCACCACACAGTTTCCACATCCTGCTTCTGCATTATGGAGGGATGCTGTGTCAATGGTTCTGAAATGTTTACTTGTAAGAAAATGAAAATAAATTTTAGGTATCCCCATTTCTGAAATTGTGAAAGGAAAAAAAAAAAAGTTTTCTGAAAGAAAAGGGTTAGAATGTGGTGGTGATATTGCTAAGGTTGTGGGTTCAGTCCCCAGATGGGTCATTTCCTTAAGGGTTGGACTTGATGATCCTTATGGGCCCTTTCCAGCTCAGACTATCATAGATCTGGAAATAAGGATGAAGTCTTTCAACTTTCTGACAGCTTATGAGGGCAGACAGATACCCCTTATGTCTGTTTGAGTATTTGCTTTGTTGCTGGCTGGATGTCCACTGCATCCTCAAGCGTATCCCTGTCTTGTTACCAAAATAATGTTTGTTTTGTGACAGAAGTGCAAGCATCCTCTGTGATATCAAGGTGCCCAGGACATGGGATTTGCTGCTTCTGTCTGTTGGTCAGGGAGCATAGATATTTCTTACAAGGAGTTAGACAAGCACTTCCTGGGACATGCATTTTTTTCTGAGTATCTAGCTCTAGTTAGAATGCTGTTATGATATTACTAAAATAACCCTTTATTACATGAGATGGACACATGGACTTCCCTAGATGTACATAGAATTAGTGATCAGTGCTCAGAAAAACTGAACTAAATATTCATTCTTTTCCATAAATAATTAAGCTGAATTCTTTATACACTGTGGGGCAATTTGGAGTAGTGAGTGTAGTGTCTGGAGAGAACTGTTCTGATTCTGCTAAATTTTAACATTCACTTTTCACAGCTGCAAATTGCTGGAGTTGCAGAGTGGGAGACAGACAAGTCCTTGTTAGTTCACTTAGAAGGATAGAGAGAGGCTGATTCTAATTAACCTGTTTTGGTGAGCTGAGGAGACAGCTGGGTTACCGAAGGATAAAAGAAAAAAAAAAGATAGTAGAAATCAGTGCTGATAAAAGCCGTGGGGGTTTCACACATCTCCAAGAGGCAAAGAGGGATATACAATTTTCCACTGACAGAATCTGAAGGGTGCATGTGCATGTTAGGGCAGTGTGTTAATTTAATATATCCAAGGGAAAGGAAACCTGCTGCTTCAATCCAAACGTGTCTCAAACCCATCTCATAACAATCAATCAGTTTAATGAGCAGAAAGAAATGGACTGTCACTAATAAGACTTGTGGTGCAGAAGTAAAAGAAAGGACTCTTTAACGTAGAAACAAAGGATTCTTCTGGCTTCAGGGAAGGCCTTAAATGGTGGGTCCTGCCTGGGTGACATCAAGACACAATGGCTTGATATCTAGGTATCTAGGCTGCTCAAGAGACAGATGTTAATAAATAAGTGATGATAATAAAAGATGATAATAAATAAGTAACGTGAGTGTGACATACTTGTAAAATGACCTAAAACAACCTGGTCTGTCAGCCCAATCAGAAGAAACTGCAGTTGCAGCAAAAAATCAAAATTTTTGGCCTGGCTGAAAGCTGAGCTACATATTTGATTAGCTGGTGTTTTAAATGCAGAACATGGTACTGTTTTTAGGCACCTTGCCATAAACTGTTCAATGAGAAAAAATGTAGAAAGGCATGCATAAGAAATCTAAATGTGCACATGGCTTCATTGGAACATGAAATGCCACAAAATTCACCTTGCATCTGCATGTTGTATGCATAGCTATTTAAGTAGAACTTATATAGTTTAGAAGAACAAGAAATGTAATTTAGGCAAGGAAAACATCAGGAGAACCTGAAAAGCAATTCTTCAAACGCCCCATCTGATTGGAGTATGAATTTAGCCTCTCCCTACGAAGTGTGGCATGACTCTTCCAGCAGGAATATTATCCATGAATTAGGGCAGTCAGACAGATTTCTCTGCTGAGAAACATTCTGTGTTCTCAAAAAATGGTGTGCAATGCAGAGAAATAAGAGAGGTCTCTAAGAGTAATAAGAGATTCTTGAGGCTCTACTTAGGAAGCACATCCCTTCATGTCAGGTGAGGCAAGACATCAATCAATGAGGCCTTGCAGAAGAACTGAGAGTTTGAGACAATTAATGAATTCTATACATATATATGTGTGTATGTACATTTTTACATTATATTCTTTGGAAAGCTAGAGGATGTTACATCATTTCTGGCCTGCAGGAGGGGGATGTTGTCATGGACATATTTAATGAAAAATCCTTTTGACAGGATTTTTCTCCTGAGAAGCTGAGAGGCCTCAGGAACAAAATGTAAACAATGATTATCTGCTGCTGTGGAATGCAACAGGTGCATCTGTGACTGGTCTCATGTGATTGTTTTTAATTAATGGCCAATCACAGTCCAGCACTCTCAGACTCTCTGGTCAGTCTCAAGATTTTATTATTCATTCCTTTCCTTGCTAGCCTTCTGAAATATTTTCTTCTATTCTTTAGTGCATTTTTAGTATATAATTTTCTTTTAATATAATATATATAATAAAATAATAAATCAGCCATCTGAGACATGGAGTCAAGATTTTCATCTCTTCCCTGGTGCTGGGCCCCCTGTGAACCCCACCATGGGATGTTTGTACTCACTGTGCTTCTGGTGCCAGCGCACTGCGTGCAGGAACACCCCGCAGTAGTGGAACAGGAACTCGTGCCTGGAGTGCTGCTCTGTCCCCTGCAGCAGGGGCAGCAAGGTGTGCCCGTCCATGGCCCTGATGGAGAGCACCAGAGTCACCAGACAGCTTCAGAATTTTAACTCTGCAGCTGAAGCATGAGCTGTACTCCCTCTCTGTGTGCAGCATTAGGATTTCAAGTGTCATCAGTAAACCAAGGTGCTGTTCAGCTAATGAGCCCTGAGATTTTTAATTGGATGAATGTGTGGAGCCCAGTAATTAGCAGCTACTAGAAGTTTTTGCATTTACAGCTGGTTCACATATCCTGCCTGGGGAGATCACACACCATTACTGTAATTTTCCTGGAAGTGATAACAATAGTGAAGGCATGGTTCACAGGTTTTAATTTTGCCACCTGAAATAGAAAGCGCTGACAGCCCTGTGAGATCCAGGCTTTGTAAAAATAATTTAAAAAAAAGAAGCCACTTACTGAACTACCTAGCAATTCAATTACAATCTGGGTTGTCACTGGGTTTAGTTGCAGTCTACCAGTACTTCTATGCTTTTTGCTGAAATGGCTTAGCCACCCGTGTTTTCACGTGTCCTTTAGAGAAGCCTGGTTTTCTCAGTCATCCTCGTGTCCCAGACCAACCAAGTTGCTTTTCAGTGATAGGAGAACTGAGTTATCTAAATGACCCTTGATAAAACATATGGGTTTTTTTCCTTGCCTTTTTCACATAAGCAGACAAGATGGGGAAACTGCACAGAAAAAAAAACCTAGAGAATTGCCTGGTTTAGAAACAAAGAGAATTTAAGGTGTGGCTGTTAGGATGCATGATACAGTCAGCTTCTGTCTGAATAAAGGAAGAGAAGCAATATGATTTATGAAGCCACCTCTGTACCTGTCCTGAGGCACTGTCCCTCCAGCCAGTTGAACTACTGTAGGATAAATGTCCATAAGGCTCGTGGGTTCATCGATGACTGTCCCCGCAGGCAACACTCCTGGCCACCTAACTATGCCTGGAACACGGATTCCTCCTTCCCAGCCTCCCATTCCTTTTCCACCTGTTATAGAAGGGGGAGAGGTATCAAAAAGATAAAAGAATAGAAGATAACAGATGTTTATTGTGCATGTATAGGAAAATGTTTTAACACTTTTAGGGTATTTCATGCACCTTTAATGAAAACACACTAAATCCTGGAAAACAGTAGATTATCATTCAGCAGTGGCTCTTCTCATTATTTGTATGTCTTTCTTATTTATCTGCTTGTTTTAGTATGCAGTTGCCAATAGCCAGAGTGAGTTTTACAGATATTTATTAGTTAAACTGTATTTTTAAATTTTGTCAGTTTGTCTCACTGGGATATCCCCTGTTCTGCTGTATGTGGACATAAATAGTAATATCTTTCTATTGTTGATATCTAAATTGATATTGTATCTCCTCTCACCTTCTCTCTAACCAGGCATGATTTCAGCATTGTCTTCTCATCCTGAATTCCCCAGTCACATTTCTCTTTCCCTCTGGACTCTCTTGTTACTAATACACTTATGTTCAGCTAGGGAAAGTGAATTCCTTAGATTAGTTTGTAAGCTATTCAAATGAGTCTCTTTTGCATCTGATATTGGCATGGAATCTTCAAATCAAGAACTGAAGGTTAATTTTTCATTTAGGACTGTGTGTGGGAGGATCCCAGCTGTATCAAATATTGCTTGTGTGGCTCATCAAGTAACTTAGTACTAGACAATGTTCATTGTGATGCTGAGCAAGGTCAACATGCATATGCATATGACCCTTCTTCTGTAGGGAAACTTGTGATGGATGCAGCTCTCAGTCTTCATTATACAGTAAGTGCCAAGCTGCCCAATATGTCACAGTGACTTTTCAAGGTTTAGTAAACCTTGAAGGAAGAACATACAACAAATTCCAGAGAGCTTTTGTCACTGTGTTGGCAAGCCAGTCATAGAGAGTCTAGAAGAAACTTATATAGGATGGGTGGGAAACTGGAGAACTACAGTAAGAAAAATAGGCATCATGATATCTGCCAGTGTTGACACAGATAATCACTAGAGAGGAACCTTCTGAAATGCAACGCAGGTAAATGCAGGGACCTGCATCTTGGGAAAGACAACGCCATGCCCCATTACAGGCTGGGGCTGACCTGCTGGAAAGCAGCTCTGCAGAGAAGGATCTGAGTGTCCTGGTGAAGAGCAAGTGCTCCCTGAGCCAGCAGTGTTTGGCTCTTGGGGCCAAAAAGAGCAAAGGGTGTCCTGGTGTGCACTAGGAGGAGCATTGCCAGCAGATTGAGGGAGGTGGTCCTGCCCCTCTACTCAGCCCCAGCCCTATGAATAGCAGATGTTATTCTTTTTTTCAGCCCCACAATCCAAGATTATAATCCAATTGTATAGTTTATTAAATGTAATATTTTTGAATATATTTTTTCTATAACTCTATTTTTTTTAAGAGGAAGTCTTATGCATTTACAAACTACTACAATTTTACCTTTATATATCCCATTCCATCCACCCAGCTGAGAATTTCCTCTGTGAGCCTCTAAGAATCCTCCATGATCAGATGCAAAGTAAATGAAGGTGGTATTCTTCAAGTTTTCTTTGTCAATAACATCCAGAAGCCTGCCTATAAACAAAGCAAAACATCAGCAGATGCAGTCAGATTTTTTAGGTCCTGACTCTACATTCAGTGAAGACTGCATCTTTCCATTTGCCAAGACAAAGCTGATGAATGTTTATAACATTTGTGTCTGGTGTCTATAAAAACGGAAAAATAAAAAATTGGAAAATAAATCAGTGATACTTTTATTCAAGCTACTCAAAATACTCTGTCAGCTTTGTTCTGTAGATTCTGCATCAAGAATTGTCTTCACTATGTAGTCTCAAACATCTTGAAAAGCTTAAATAATAGTGCTGCTCTGATTACTAACCATAGAAAACTGCTGTGTCTCACCAGGAACTGAACAAGGACTCTGAGACCAGGCTGCATACTGTCAACCGAAATAATTTCCTGATGTAAGCAATAAAAACTTCATAGACTGTAATTCAAACCTGACTTCATAAGGAATGTTTTCTGTACCGATCCCATCAAATGTTTATATAGACTCTGATTTATCTTATCTTCCATTGTCATCATCTTCTACATCAAAGATACTCGGCAAGAACAGCTTCCATACCTACAGAAGCAGCAGCAAAAGCTGAACTGCACAAGAAAAAAGCACAAACTAGTAATCACCACTTTTGCTCAATTTCCTTTCCTTTCCGTCTGTTCTTGGTGAAACTAGTTATTGACCTTACCAAACACAAAAAAAAAAATCTTTAGATTGCCTCTAGGCGTATTGGTTCTGAATTAGACTCCAAATCAAGAGCTATCCAACTCTGGAAAGTTTTGTCCTCATTAGCTGCTGTCCTGTTTCAATTATATTGAAACAGGATCTTGTAGGAGTTTTCAGCCTGTCCATTGAAAGCAATCAGGTTCCTCTCAAATTACGATTTTGTAGACATGGTTTTGGGGGAAAAAAGGTTCAGGGATTGAATTGTGGCCTTGACAGGAGGCAATTACTTTGCTAATAGAGCCTTCATTTTTGACAAAACAGAAATAGCAGCTATCTCTCTCTCTCTCTCTCTCATTGGAAAGAAAAAAAAACTAACTAAAGGTTAGGTTTTTAAACCAAATTACCCAAATAGAAATTTAACCTGCTTGGTACTCAAGAGCCCAGATTATTAGCTGAGTTAATAAAATTTATTAAATGAAACTCCATATCTTTCAAACTTTTGGCTAGGAGAGGGTTCATACATTTTGATTAACAACATGATCAGAGACACGTTGGGTTATTTGACTGCATTTAACGCTTCAATGTAGAAGAATGTCATTAAAAAAAAGATGATGAAGAAATCGTTACAATAAAAGTTTAGGCTTTCATCTTAATAAAATAAGAAAGATGTATTGTATGGTTGTGGTATGGCAATCTCTGAAATCAACTAAGTAACCAAGGTGAGTTCACTGATTTTTACATATGCCAAAAGGGAGTTTGGTGATCACCCCTTTAATGCCTTTTCCACATCCAAATGAATAAGGAATTTTCTTCAAGGCCAGCACTTACCTACCATCCAGTCCATCTCCTCTACATTATCTCCATACAGGCCATGCCTGCTTCTTCCCTGAAACTTCTCTGTGGTAACGAGAGGGGTGTGAACATGTAAAAGGGAAACAAAGAGAAGAAACGGTCTATGCTTGTTTCTGAAATAAAAGAAAACAACAGTCATTTCTCTTCAAATTGTCACTCAACCCAAAATATAACAGTGGTATTGCAGTTACTCTCTCAATTTATATTTATATTTTTGAAATCTAAACAATTTTTATTTTGACATCTTTTTCACTTTGAGGTTTTGAGAAGCAGAGGGGATTAAAACATACTCCTCAAAGATGTTTTTTTTCTATGTTAAGACCAAAACAGTAATGGGTCATTTCTTTTTTCCAGTTCCAAATTAGACAGGCAAAACATTAAATAAAAAGCTAGAAGAGGTCATAGCCAAAAGACTAACACATTCCTAGAAGCAAGAACAGGACTCACTGGCCTAAACTTAAGCATGGATGAGCATCATAAGCACCTGAGGTGCCCTCATGGAAGAGGCAGATATCACCCACAGTGAAACTGTATTGCTTCAACATCAAGCCAGGTAGGATATCCTAAGAACCTGAGATTTGCTCAAAGTTTTAGAGAAGGAATTTATATTATCTCATATTTCCTTTAAAAAACAACCCCTAAATCCTGACAGAAATATGGATATGCTCAGGTTTAACGCACGAATACTTTTAAAGACTTAGTATTTTTTTTTTAATACTTTTAAAGACTTAGTATTTTTTTTCAATTCCAGTTGAGGTTACTGATAATAAATGAAGGACACCTTTGGGGAAAAAAAAACCCAACCGAAACCACAAAACTCACTATCACTCTCCTGTTTGTAAAACATTAACTTCATGACATTTTGTATGACAGTCCATTCATCACCCTAGGACAATTTTTCTGTTCCTCCTGGCAGAAGGAACAGTATTTGGCCAGGACCCCTATGTATTGCTTGTTACCCCCATGTCTGCTCCTCACCTCTGCTGATTACCTTTCAATGAATGCAACTGCCTCCTTCAGCATATTAGAAGTAGTTTTTTGTAGGTTCATTGGTTGTTCAGTGATATCATGGTTTCTCATCAGGATGCAGTTCCAGTACTTGGTGAAACCATAGCTGGAGAACCAGGAGATGAAATGAAGGAGACCACAGATGGCCAAACAGATGATTATTTTCCATTTAACTGGGAATAAATTGGTGAGTTTTCCAACCACAAGAGTAAATACTGCAAGGATGATCATCTGAGTGTAAAACCAATATGTATCTTGCAAAGACTTGGCCAATTCAGGGTCATCTGAGCCTTGACACTCATTGAGAAGCGTAAAAGCCATGCCATAAAAATGATCAAAACCATGATTTAAAGGATGGTGGCAGTGATCATGGCGGGTTTTGCAGTTCACACCCATATGCCACTTCCCTGGAAATAAAAAGCAAAGATCTTAAATCCAATATTAGGGTGTGTCTGCCTGTATTTCTCTGTTAAGGTGCAGCCAAGGAGGAGCTGGTGTGGAATGGGGACAGACTCCGGGAGCAGTAGTGCAGCAGTAGTGCAGTGACACACATTGATGAGGTCCCCTCTCTTCTCAAGGCTGAACAGGCCCAGATCCCTCAGCCTTTCCTCGTAAGAGAGATACTCCAGTCCCCTAATTATCTTCATTATTGATGAACAAGTTAAACAATACTGGGCTCAGTGCTTAGGGACACCACTGGTGACAACTTTTCCCTGTGCCACTGATTACAACACTCTGGGATCAGCTGTTCAGCCAGCTCTCAACCCACTTCCTTGTCCACTCATCCAGCCCACACTTCCAGAGCTTGCCCATGAGGATGTTGTGAGAGACAGTTTTAAAAACCTTGCTGAAGACAGTAGTATCATTAAGACCACTGTGCTGAAATTGATAAAATTAAGATCACTGTAGTGTCTTGTTGCCAACTGGCAGATTACATTTTTCTGCTCTAATGCATCAGTAAATATCTCTGCTGGTTCATCCTAAAGCAATCTGTACTGGGCAAACAAGATTCCTTCCTTTGAATTTACTTCCATTTGCAGTGTGTATTTATGTATTACATACACCTCATTTTAGATTTACCAGATATGCTGTACTCACATTGGACTTGTGGAAATGTTCTAAAAACCCTGCTGATGTTAAAAGTTATGCATACAAGAAAATCGAGTTTAACTGTTCCTGGCAATTTAACTGTTCCTGTCCAGTAGCAACCTAATTAGAATAACTAAATATGAAGAGGCAACAACTTTGTTTCATACCTACAAGTGCTGTAGAATAACCTTGCTGGTGGAGTATTCTGGCAAAAGTGGTTTCATTTGGTGGGAGCCCCCCTGAAGCACCGTTCCAGAAGAGAACCTGACGCTCAGTGCTGGATGCCATGCCTAGAGAGGAATAATGGCCTTTAGAATTAAACAAGCAGACTTCAGGTCTCCAGTCTTCTGAGACTGTGCTTTCTAATGAATGAGACTCAGTTGCCTAAGCCTAGTGCCTTTTTTTAAGCCATTTCCTATGCCCCAGGATATTTTGCTAGACCTCCAAAATTACGACTTTTCCAAGTTCTATGTCATCACATGCTAGATCAATGCAGATACCTCAGCTATGCTGGGGTATCTACAAACAGCAGGAAGACACATCTGGACATTAGGCAATTTCTTACAATCAAAATTCTGTCAAAATATGATGTTAACAAAAACAAAAAGCAGATAAGTTTTTTCCAGAACAAAAGGCTTACAGGATTAAGGGAACACACTTCTGAAATGTACAGTTCATAATTACATTTCTCCTTCAGCGAGTCAGAGTCACATCAGAAACTACACTGATTATTACTGCTATATGTAGTGGCTGAATTCTTCTGTCATAAATTTACATAGCTGAAGTAAATCTGTTTTAAGACAAAATTGCTGACAACTGTTCTACAGCCTGACACATTTCCCTGGGAAAATGTTTGCCAGGGTATTAAAAATATTACATTTAATCCTAGCGCCACTGAACATAAAAATTCACACAATTTTCTTCTTTCTTTTTCTACCTGTGGGTGCTATGCAGTGTTTGGAATTTTGTCCATTTCTGTATTGTTATTTAGCCACACATAATGTATTTTCTATGGGGATTTTCCCATAGAAATCAATCATTAGTCATCTCTAACTTTTGCCCATTTTACTGAGACTCCAAATCCCAAGATTAATGGTTCTTTAACGGGGTTTATTTAAGGGTGATTTTTAATATCAACACTGACTAGACTAACTGCAGCAAACCACTGGAGAGAGGCCCAACCTGATCTGATGGGGTATCTGCCAGTCAGGAAAGCAGCTCTGCTGGGAGTACAGACAGCTGCTGCAGCGATGTGCTGAGTGAGTCTCACTCCATCCTTTGCCAGGCCATCAATGTTAGGGGTCCTAAAGAGAAAGTCCCATCTTTTTATTAAACAGAAATTCAGGGCATGCTGCTCATCCTAATTTTGTTGAGCATATCACCATCAAATTTACAAAAACGTCAGCTAGAAAGGTTCTGTGTTTTATATATATTTTTTGAGATGTCTTGACTCCTTAGAAATGAGACTTCCATGGGCATATGTGCTTTTATTAATAACTAAAAAATATATATATAGAGGAGAAACAAGGTATCTCAGGTATTTCCCACACTAAAATCCCATCCAGCAGAGGGAAAAAGAGTTTGTTCACAACACAACATCCAAGAAAATAATAGGCCAGAACAAGGACACATCATTCTCTCAATAAATCTATATACAGATTGATAACTGCACTAGGGATAAACATATTGCATAGACTGACGTGTCATTTCATAATAAATCTACTAGAGTTGTTAACTGATAATAAATTCTAATCTCATTACTCCATATTTCAACCCTGGAATTATGGGAATTTATGTATTATACTGATACCTGACAAGTACAGTGCACAGACACATTTGCAAAGTTCTAAGTCCCAGAAAGTTTCTCAAGCATGCCTTTATAATTATGACTCCAGTAGGAATTACTGTAGAACATGCATTTTGAACATAGTTTGAAAAGAAGTGTATCTAGATAAATGAATAAATTAATCATGAATTTTAATGCTAAGTATCATCAGTAGGTTTTTTTTAAATAAAGTTCACCAGGAAGGGAGAATTTATTTCATACCTTATTGTATCATTGCCATAGCAACCCAAATCTCCAATACCAAGGTCATCAGCCAGTATCAGTAAAAAGTTAGGTTTTGAAGGATTTGATACACAGGCTCTTGGAAACAGGCACAAAATTAGCCAAATGTTTAAGTATGTCCTAAAAGCAAAAGTAAAGAGGTAACATTACAAAAAAGCAGTTGTAAGTTTTACAATAGACTTTAAACTATTATTGTTAAAGTTTTATGGGGACTCAGTATAGGTGCAAACAGCAATCAAAGAGTGCCAGCAGATGAAGCTCCTGAATATGCACAGAAGTCCTTGAGTTTTATAATATTAGTATAATTTTCTGGGGTTATTATTATTATTACTATTATTATTTCACACAAAAATTTTGTGTCTGACTTCTTTTTATTGACATTTGCACTGATCTCTGCAGATGTTCCCAGCAGAATGAGTGGCTGGAGGCACTCCTGTATGGAGCTGTAGGATTCTCCTGTTAAGGCTCCTGGAATGAGTTGGGACAGGAGCACAAAGGTAATTGGACTGGTCATTATGGCAATGGCTTGATTGTGGCATTTACTGCATCCCCTGCTACACACAGTGTCTGGAAAGTGCTCCCTAAGCCATGAGGCCACCTGCAAAATCAAGGTGCAGCAACAGGCTTTAACTTGATTATCATCCTGGGAGACCCTAAGAATATCTCCGCACATTTTAGTTTCCAAAGTGTTTGCCATTGGAAGCTTACAGATCCTCACCTGAGGTAAAATAAATGTGCCAGAACACATCTTCTGACTGCCAATTCATTAGTGGATACTACATTAGTTCATCAGCAGATATTACATTAGTTCATTAGCAGATACTACAGTATGATCAATTATAGTGAGTGTACTGTGCCATACACTATATACTCCTAAACCGCCACGTCTTATAAAAAGTAGGCTAATGGGCTTCGGAATACCAATAGAGCCAAACCTGTATTAGCTGCTATTGGGGTGGTGGTAGCAGGGAAAATGTAAGATTATCTGCTTATATTTTCTTGAGCACAACACCAAAAATACAGGGAAGGGCCTCAGTGAATATCTTTCTTACCTTTGTTTTTCCCAGAAAACTTTGTTTTCCGTTTTATGAAACAGGTACATAGTCAGTCATATAAATTCTGATGGAAAAGGAAAAGAAAGAAATCCAAAGCCAGAAGTTCTGGTGATTTTGCATGCAAAGTCTGGTCTGTTTACAGCTGCTGCTAACTCCAGGGGGACTTGTGAGAATTTGGAAAGAAGGCAAAATGTTAATGGCTTTTAAAAAGTGCTAGAGGTGCCTATTACTCAATACATGCCCAGAACTGTTGGTGTTCACTGAAAGGAATGTTTTCATCATTTTACAAATGAGGCAAAACCATTATCTTACTTTTTACTTAACCTCAGATCAACTTTAAGAAAACTAATCTAACCGTTACTGTGAGCTAATGAACTTCAAAAAATATGTCAAATTAAAGCAATCCTGGAAACTAATATTGTCACTGTCATTCTTAGGAAATGGGCTGTATTGGTCTTTGGTTTAGATCTAGTACACTCAAGAAGGGGTTTATATCTGAATTGTTACTAAAAACTTCTAGAAATTAGAAGTTACTAGAAACATAAATACCTTTATGATTATTTCCTTAAAGGACTCCAAACCTTTATGTAAATTTAACAGGCCAGTTTTTCTACCTGCCAATTCTATGAAGTCACCCTGGACTTTAAAAATCTAGAAATAATCTTTTTGTTTGTTAAATATTTATTTTTATCTGGTGAAGCAAATCTTATGAGTGGAAGTGATTTTCTCTGCTTGCTGAAAAAAAAGTCACTTTGGAAAAAAGAATGGCTTGGGAAAATACTTCTTTTCCTTGTGAATGACCTAAATGATCTACAGATAATGTTGCACTGGAATTGTGCAAGCAGTCCTGCAGAAGTACATGGTAAACTGGCTCCAGTGGGGACTGGCACATGCTCAGCTTTGGGGAGCACACTGAGATAAATTAGAGATGCCATTCATTCCATCACTGAGAAGAGAGAAAAGAATTGGAGCTATCCCATCCATGCAATATCCCTACTTTTCCACACTTCTTGCTATTTCAAAAGAGCACAAGAACAAAGATGTTGGCTGTACCAAGGAACAGATTGAAAGTAATAGGAACATTTCCTTTCTATAACAACTCAAGACATATTTGTAAACACAGAGTGAATTCTAAACACAGAGAACTGAAAAGTTCTATCTTGCCTAATGAAAGACTTGGGTTATTTCCTCCAAAAATAAAATACAGCATTTTCTGAGAGCTTTTTTTCTGCTTTTTAATACAAAAGAGTTTGCCTGGAATGTCTGAGGAATACTAAACTGCTCAGAGCAGAGCAAATCCTGCCTTATGCATTTCAGAGGATGAGCCAGATGACAAAAAAAAAAAAAATAGCAGATATTGTTATTTTGATCAGGAAAACAGTATCTAAAGAGTCAGAACTTGGGGTCCCTTGATGATTTTTCCAAGCAACATCTAGAATCTTGTTTGGCTCTGGCTGAGACAATAAGGGAAATAACAAACCTGAAAAGGCTCCAAGACCCACCACCACCAAAACAAACAAACAAATCCCCCAGCAAAACAAAAATAAGCCCCTCAATCAAACAACAAAACCCCCAAGAACAACAACAAACCCAACAAACTTGATCATTGTTAGTTATGGCGTTTTCTACAGTGTTGATGTTTCCCTTTGCTGTTGGAAAGATCCCACAAGGCAGGACTGGAAGCTCATCCTCCCTTACCAGTGCATGGGTCAGAGATTAATGGGAAGGCAGCAAAGCCTCTCTGACTCAGTGCAGTGGCTGTTGGAAGCAAGACCTTACTGTGAATGCAGATTCCAGACTCCCACTATCCAAAAAGGCAGGCTGTACTAATATGAAGCAAAGGACTTGCTGCTGGGATCTCAAATCTTTTTGTGCTTCACTGGCGCAGCCTGCATGCAGCTCCCCTGGGGCCCCAGTGAGCTGGGGCAAGGATGAGGCAAGTGCTGAAGCCACTAATCTGTGACAGCAAAGGATGACTGATGGCTCTGGTCATCACCTGTAATGGCAATATCTTCATGGTGCACTAACAACAGGCAGAGCTCTGCCCTCCCAGACACTGTTAGGCAGCATTACATTTAAGGAGCTTGTGGCACAGGATTAAGCCAAAACTATTAAAGTGAAAATCTTCAGTCTACACCAAGTAGCTGAGGATCAGCCCCTGTGAGCTCCTTTTAGTGGAGAAAAAGAACCAGACAGATCTGAACATCTAAGAAACCCCTTGACTTCACTAAGGGTGTTGTTCAGCTTTCCTTTACAAGATCTTACAACAGCTCTGCTGTCTTCCACTTTCTCCCCAGAGGTTCTTGCATCACAGCCAGCTGGTCACAGCAGGCACATCAGTGTTTGGATAGAAACTTATGAAGAGTCCCTCAGAAAAACCATAAACTTGAACTGAGTACTGCTGGTATTATAAAGATCTAAGTACCATTGGATGTGGCACCATCTGATTTACTGCAAAGCCATTTTAGGAGCACTTCTCTTACTGAAGGACTACAAGAATGACCACACTTACTAAAAAAACACCACAGTTTAAATATGCATATTCACATTTCTTTTAGGGTTTGATTTCTTCTGAAAGCAGAACTCTCTCTGACTCTCTCTGTGATGAACCCACTACTGGACCCTAGGGCTTGTCCAGTTTCCTTAGCTATTAAATGAGAAAACCCAACCTAACAGCAGCCTCTAAAAATCAGCAATCTCTTACAGAAATCCAAGAATATATCAGACAGCCATTCCCTCTGTAAGCCAGTAAGCCACAATAAAATGATCATCAGGACTAATAAAAAAGGCCAGCCCCTTTTAACAACGTAGAAAACAAACCCTCTTCTGAGTTATTCTTGTTCCGAAATCCCTCTTGCTCCTGGATGTGCTGAGCAGTCCTGATTGTCTAAAAGGTGTGGGGGTGAAAGTGGGCAGGAATTGGCTCCTGATCTTCCTGCTCTCCCTTCCCCTCTCTCCAGCATGGACACACTGGGATCCCTGCCAGCAACAGCCAGTAAACTGGAACAGCCATCAGATGAGAACAGCTATGCAGGTTTTCATGAATTCCAGGCAAAGTACAAAGTCCTTACTGTTCAAATAGTAGCACAGCATGGCTTCTGCCTCTTCTCCATTTCCTATCTGGTTAATTCTGAGAAATTCTGTATAAAGTCTGTCGCTGCTCTATTTCAGTGCTTCAGAAGAGATTATATAGTAACAAAATACACTAAAAATGGCTTTGTTTCTCCCACACAGCTTTTCCAGCCTTCCAGATGAGATAAAAGGACTAGCTTGTCCTCCTTTTCTTCTGGGATGTTGTTTTTTCTGTTTTCATCGCATTTTCTAGAAAGGTAGGCATACCTGTGCTGAAGATGTGTTTATTTCTAGTGTTTACTATCCATCCCCTTCTTTCAGATCTTAGCTCTGCTGTAATACATTTTTCAATTCAGAAGGTCTTGAGCAATTACTTGGAGTAGCCTTATTTATTTGCTGACATTTTGGTTCTCTGTGCTACTTGAATACAGCAATTGCTAAATTTAAGACTGTGTTCTAGAGAAATCAGTAGGAATTGGTGAGATGGAAAGATGAAGCAGTTAAAACTATCAGATTCATATAATCTACTGGCAGGGATAACCAGGGACGGAGACAGTTTTTTATTTTTTTACCTACTTGCACTTATGACTATGCACAGTTATTTTTATGTTGTGATATTGGGCTACTGTTATTCACATCTATTTGACTGTAATACTTTTTTTGTATGACTGCTTAACAGCTTGTGATGCTTCTGGTGCAGACTTGAAAAAGTAATATTTCTCAAAATTACATCATGCTTTGGGAATGGCAGATCTTTAAAAACTGCCAATAGTACAAGTATTAACTTTCACTGGCTTTCATCCAAATTATGACTAAACTTTTCTTTGACTATTTACATCTTTCACACCATGTGTTCACTACTGAAGATGGGCCCATACTGCTGCTGACATGACTTAAAAATGAAAACTGAAACAAACTGCACTGCCCCTGCCACCTCCACCCCCCCCCCCCACAAAAAAAAAAAAAGTATATATATATATCCCACACCTTCACATTTTTCCCTACTAGCAAAACTCTATCTGGAAGCAAAGACCTCACTTTCTGTTTCTTACCACTAGGTTACTGATCTAACACAGAGTTACCAGCCCTGATTACTTATTGTATTCCACAGAATTAAATGTTAAACAAACACTTTTTCTAACAAAAAAAAAGTAAAGTAAATAAGTAACACCAAAGGAGAAAGGGGGGTGATTTTTATCTCTGCAGCTTGAGCCAAGCAGTATTTCCTTCCCTTCAGCTAACCAATTTTTTTTCACTGCCCCTGAGCACAGAACGCTGCTGTTTACTCCCTGATGTAAACAGGCAACAAATTTTCTGCCAGGAAAAACTTTTTTTTTGAGCCACTGTGTGTTTTACATTGCTGTTTCCTTTTTGGCTTTTTACACATGTCTGAGTACTAAAATCAAACACTAGCATTCATTCAGCTCCTTCTCTCTTTGACAAGCTTTCTGAGTGAATGTAGGGTGGTGAACATAAATACTGATATGACACACACAAAATTTCATAAGATCATTTCTATCTCAGATGCTGGGGAAAAAATATCTATTTGCCAGTCTTGTATCTCTTAAGAGTAGCAGGGAATTACAGTGGCACAATGAATCCTTTCAGAGCACTAATACATTTAGGTAGAGTTGCAGGGGGAAGGTCTCTAAAAGGACCTTGGAAATAAGCAGTCCCTGAAAGCCCCTTTGAGTCACTCAGGCATTCTTCCCTCCAAGATGGGGACAAGAGGAATGCTCTCCACCCCTGCCTGTCTCATATTTAAAGAAAAAAAGGTGCAAATTATGAAATCTTTTTTACATCTGTCTTCAGCCCCATCCCAGCCCCACTTTATTTTCTCATGGTATTAAATGCTGTGTATTTGCTGATCCCTGGGGTGATCCTGCTTGTGGATTAAGATAGGGTCAAGGACAAATTCCACCTGAGGTAACATACTGCTTACTGTTCCAAGTCCATATCCTAAGCTGTTATTTAGCAGTATTGTGCACTATGAAATAACCATGCTTAGAGCTCCAACTGATAATTTCTCAGCAATGGAGAAAGACTGTGAGCATGTTGTGTTACTAAACATCAATAAACTTTGAAAGCAATAGGGAAAGAAAGAGTACATATGACACATACACATGTAAACATTTTCAAAATTCCCTAGAATTATGTTTCTGGAAATTATGATAGAGGCATAGCCAGAGACTTCCACTCAAGAAACAGATGTCATTGTTTAAAAACAGGAAAACATTCAAAGAAAAAAAAAATTAGCAGCTAGTATTACTGAGGGATTGTACAACATCTGCTTAATGAATCAGATAAGTGCAAAACATCAGAAAAATACAGGCAACTATTATGTAACTTCTGTTTACAAGACTCAATATGGACTTACACAGTAACTGAGCTCACAGAGCCTTATTAACAGTGATCCGGAGCTCAGATCGGAAGCCATTGGCACAGGCATTCAGACATTGAAGAAACCCTACTAAACTATAAAAATTGATGCTTATGCTTTCCTTATAAATACATTCTAAGTTGACACTGTTGTGTTTAATGCACATCTAGAGAGTGACAGCATTATAAATTATAGTGTTCTTCTATTCAAGAAATCTGCTCCTTCAAGATTTCACAGGGAAGCTGTACCTGTGCAAGAGCCTTACACCTCAGACTACCTCTGTGAGGGCTTGTACAAAGGAAAAGACAATTTTAGTTCTCTGGTGCTCAAAGTCAGGGTATGATCAAAAAAAAAAGGTGGGGGGAAATAATGACACAATTTTTAATAGTTTAATTTCCTAAATGGTGATAAAGAAAGGAACCACAAAAACTTAAAGCAAATGAAGCATCCGGAAAACTGATTTATTTGAGTCCAGGGTTCTTGGGAAAGAAACCCCAGGTGGGCCAATTCAAACAACACAATTTTAATTTGTCTAAGTACAAACAGATGCATTCAGGAAGGAGCCAGAAACTTGCCAACGTGAAGAGAATGGCAGCAATGGCTTTGCAATGTAGCAATGCAATCCTGAAAATAAATTAAACTTATAGAAAGCAACAGATTGGGCACAGTCACCATCATGATGTCAGAGGTAAAAAAGAAATTCAATCAATCCTTCTAACTTTTTACAAGGGAGACCTTATTGCTTTCTACAGCTACCTGAAAGAAGGTTGAAGTGAAGGAGTAGTCAGTCTCTTTTCCCAAATAACAAGTGACAGAACAAGGGGAAATGACTTCAAGCTGTGCCAGTGGAGGTTTAGACAGGATATTAGGAAAAATTTCTTCAGAGAAAGGGTTCTACAGCATTGAAACAGGCGTCCAGGAAAGTATTTTAAAGGTACAGCCAGAAGGTGCAGAGCATCAGTTATCAAATCTGGCACCTCCACATAAGAGATCAGAGGACTCTAACAATCCAGCCTAAACATTTCTGCGAAATGAGACCAAATCCCGCAGAGGCCCAAACAGCAGAAATTGGCCAGCAAATTTTGCATGGACACACTGGCTTTAAATAATTTTGATTATCTGCAAACCTTATCCAAAACTCATCCTTTTCAGCAGCTGTTACTACTTATGACTGCTCCACCATTTCTTTCTCCAAACTTATGAACCATGAATGAATCAATTTCCAATAACATTCATTCTGCTTGCCAGTAATGCCACAAAGTCTGCAGCTGCCTCAACAGTCACTTGAAGAGATTTAGCCAAAAAAGTTTTGCTTAGTTTATTTGGGGGCTGAGGCAAGGGGACCTAACTCAACATGGATTGATGACAACTTTCTCCAGCCAGCAGCCTCATCTAGGCTCTGGTTTGGGCTTCTTTTTCAGCTTTGTTTTACAGAAAGCAAGCTTCAAGCCTGAAACTGCTAGAAAAATAGTCCCTTATTCCTCAAAAGTAGCTTAGTGATTCCCCCATCCTCTATTTCACTTCTTGAATGTATTCCTTGATTATAATTAATCATTCTTGATGTGTTGAATTGAAGAAAAAATAGAGATAAACTTACAGAGAATAAAAAACCCCAAACCTCTTTAAACTTTAAAAATATCTCCTCATTAGCAAAGTAGTTATTGAAGCCAGGCACATCCATTGTTTCGCCATCATCCCCAAAAGCCTGGCAATGCCATCACTCACTGAGAATCCACCAGAGTGAAAGGAATTTCTCATTCTTAAAAATGCTGAGAGAAATCCAACTCCAGCAGAAAAATTAGGAATAAATCCTTGTTAATTAAGCTAAAAGACTGCATTTACACACAGCAAAATAATTTGCCTTCTAGTTTTCTTTGTCTAAATTCAGATGGTGGAAGAAATAATTTGCATGCTGCTGCAAAACCAGAGCAAACTCCAAATTGTTTAACACTTAGTTAAATATTAAAAAAGTGAATTAAAATTATTACATATATAGAAATATTTACTGGTGATGCACAAAAGTCTCTCTCTGCTTAGCTGTTATCTGAAAATAGATGCTTGCTTTTCACCTTGTACAAAAGCATGCTACAGAACAGCTTCAGCTCAGTAAACAGTATATTAAAATGTAACTACAACTGTTAATTTCATATTACATTATGGCTCTGTAGGAAGCACATTCAGCCTACCATATGCCACATACTGTTCCACCTTGGTGACTCCTTTTCTTCCATAGCTTCTAAGCATACAGATGTTCAGAAGAGGAGAGGCAACAAGTGGGGAAAGACAGAGAGAAGAAATTAAGAGCTCCCAGCTGGTGTGAGCACAGCCAGTTTCTCAGTGCTTGCAGCTGGTGAGCCAGAAACTGGTGCTGCTCATCAACCAAAATACAAGGAATGCCAAAAGGATGCCAAAAGCAGGAAATCATCAGTAGCCTCTCTTTTTTTTTCTCTTTCTATTCTCAGGGAACCTGCTTCAATAGTGCAGACTAGGGGGATACAGTTTTTAGTGCCCTGGAAAATATCAATCCTTGCTCTCTTGTATTGATTTTATTACCACTTAGTTTTGTGCATTTTCAGTTAGTAATACTCTTGTGGCAAGTTACCCAAATATTTTAATTTGCTATGGCAGAACCCTGCCTTCAGAGCAACAGAAGTAAGGGATGGTCTGGCCTTAGGCTGCAAATTACCTCGAGCTTTTTCACATTATGATTAGCAGTCCTTGGTCTAAATTATTTAATTGGGCCTATTGGCTTCAAGCTACTCACCCAGGAACACAGAACTTTCCTCCCATCCAGGACAAGAGCAGGGCACAGCTGGAAAATCAGAGAAGGAACGAGGGCAGAGGAATGAGATTAAAAGAGCAGCAACTAGGGGCAGGGCTGCTAGAGGAAGAGTGAAGAACACAGGGAAGAAAACCAGAGGTAAATCATGCTTTGTGTCTATCCCTATGAAATAATAATAGTGAAAATACTCTCCAAAACCTGGATTTGGTTTGAAACACTTAGAAGGGAAAGAAAGCACAGCTTGTTAATTATTATACTAGGCTGATTCTCCTTATCACTCACTGCTGCAACCCTGATCACACATTTTTTTCACTTTTTTCGGCCTTCTGGACCAGCTCCGCCGGCAGGTGGAGGCTGAGAGCTTGGCAGAGGAGGATGGCACTAAGAGGCTGAGGCCATCCCCCAAAAAGAGCACAGCTCTGCAGGGCAGAGTTCGCTGTTCCAGCGCAGTTTCCCAGCACTGTCCCATGGGAAGTGCAATGGAATTTGCCTCGGGAAGCTTTGGTGGCCACTCCCTCCCTGAGCCCCAGGGGCCCAGGGCTCGGCAGCTGTTGATGGCAAATTCCCCTTTTGCCAAAGATGGCTCAGCTCTGTTGAAAGAAGGAAAAAAACAAGTTGTCTCCAAAAACATAGGCGAGGGTGGGGTTTTTGGGGGGAGGAGGTATTTTTTGGTTTGGGATTTTTTTTAACAGAACAAAACAACACAACCAAAAAGAGAAAAAAATCAAAAATAAAAAAAAGAAACATAAACATCCCAAAATTCAAAGAACCCCCCAATCTTTTACTTACTCCATGCTCATTCACTGCAGGAGCTTTGTTGTCACTTCCCTCTTCACCTCAGGCTTTCTGATCTTTGCTTCCAAGGAGGGATTATCAAAACCACGATATCGTTGTATCAGAATAACTGGCAGATGTCAGTCTCGTTTAAAAAAGTGGGCAAAGGCATTTACTTCATCCTGCCTGCTGCAGGGGGACTTCCCTGCCTTCCCCTGGTAGCATGTGTTGAGTAAGGAAGAATTGTTCTGAAGCAGATGCTGGACATCAAGCTGCTGTAAATGCCGAGGCAAACAAGAGCTTGAGCAGCAGCTGAGGGAAAGCTCTTGTATCTCAGGCAGGGAGACTGTCAGCCACAGCACACCGTGGGGAGAACCACCCTGTGGATGGAAATAGGAGAGCCCAGCCCGATGCAGAATGAGCCAACCAGCTCCCTTGGGATCAAAGAAAATCCATCAGTGTATTGTCACGTTGGTGTGCGCACAGCAGTCCTGGCAGCCGGGCTAATTCCCTCTGATGTTATCATAGCTCCTCTCATTGTGAGCTCTCTCCTGTGCCAGCACTAACACACATGTGGCTGCACAGTCTGACTTGCCATGTATCTCCTCAGTCCCACGAGGGTGCTGGACCCCTCTTTATACTGGCTCTGTGTGCTTATACTGGTTTAAGGAGAGGGTATAAAGGTGCTATGCTGTAATACACCGAATAAGGACTTTGTTCAAAGAAAGGCAGAAAACAGGAGAAAGATTCTTGGTGTAGACATATTCTTGCTCGAAGGCCAAAATTAATATTAATAAAAAACTATGAAAAGGAGAAAACAGAATTTACTAACTGGTTTACTAGTTAGTTTACTACTAACTAATTTACGCTTGATAATTACAATGGTATTCACAGCATCATTGGTGGGTGTAGTGTACAGAAATCAAGGGGAGCATGAGGGTCCTAAATAGTATCAGGATATAGCAGTAGTTACTGCAATATTTTCACTAAAAACTTCTGCCCAAAAACGTAATTGGTAGCTGGGAAAAGGGGCAAAAAAATGAGAATGCAAGGAATGAGATTCAAGCTCCGCTGTTGAGAATAGGATGTTTGCATGCATTAAGGAGAATATATTAAAGGAAAGCTTCAGATATATGAAGACAATTTTTGGTTTTTTTGAGGGACTTGGAAAAACTAGGTAGAAATGGTACAATTCAGGAGGCAGCAGAAAATTCCTGGACTACAAAGACTCAAAGGAAGGATCCACTGTGCAAAGATTGGTGAAGAAAGTAGGGGTTTGGGTTTGGCCCTTTTACTCCAGGCCAGATCTGATCACATCATTTCCAGTTCTCACATCTATGGAAATTCGCTCTGTCCTGCTAGAAAGGCTCCTCCATGTTGTGTCTCTGACCATCTACCATAATCAGAAGCACAGTAAGGTGATGTGATGCTTATAAAGCACTCTTTGTTACCTGCAGCTTTAGTTTGGCCTCCAGAGAAAGAATGAAAAAGGGTGAAATAAATCAATTTATGTATCATCTCCTGGTTATTAACAGTTTTTCTTGATTTCTGAACTTCTTTCATATAGATTGAACATCTATTTTAAAAACTACTTGCAAATTTGTGTTACAAATAATTCACTAATTGTAGCAGTGACTAGTAAGAAATAAATGAACTGCCTAATAGTAGAAAGTCAACTCTATAACTGGCTCATGTTTGAATTTTGCAAATATCCCAGTCTTCTGCTGAGATTAGTAAATTCCCTTATAACAAAAATTATCAACAAACTCTGAAGGATGGTAAAGTATGCAAGAACAAAATAGTGAAGCTCCAGTCACAAAACAATGCAAACTGTAGTGAAATCCTGAAAAACAGGACAAGTAAGAGCTTGTTCTTTATAAATTACTAGTCATTTACAATAATAACTTTAATTGCTTCTTTGTAAAACACATGTGATGTTATGACAAGTAGTGGAAATTATGAGGCAATGTTGTGTCCCTTCAGTTTCATGGTACTGACACATGCTGTGTGAGTTTTGAGATTTATAATCCTGATTTTGACATTTCCAGGTACTGCCATTGATTTCTGATATTTTGGTTTGCCTCTGCAATGCTGTTTAGCAGCACAGTCTTGTTTGAGACAGTGTTCAAGTGTAGACGTCACTGATACCAAACTGCATGTCCAGGGACAAAACTGTTAATTAAGCCTGACAAATTATCAGAATATTCTATCATGGTGTCCACAGAGGTTTAGCTTGAAATGCTGAAAACTGAAAACTGTGATGTTTTTGATGATTAAGTGCTGAAGTCAAGCTGAAGCACTTGACCAATGTGGGTCCAGGGGAGTTCAAAACAAGCTTAAAAATATTGCTCTTATTCTAATGTAAAAATAAACAAACTAGCAAAGCATAAAAGATCAAATACTGCAAATCTACTTATAGAATGATTTCTTTTTTTGCTTGTTCTTTACAGATCTCCTTTCAGTAAACAGACAAATATTTTATGTCCAATTTTGAAATGAAAGAAGATAATTATGTTCTTAACAGCTTGATTTTCATGCTCAAATATTGCTTTCTACTGTGTTTGAAAACATTTTCAGTATCCAAATTTAGATCTTAGGAGTTTTGTAAGATGCTCTTGAAATTCTGTTGAACACTATCTACGTCATCTTAGGCTATAACCAGCATAAATCAATGAGATGAAAACTCTGTTGTGACTAAGCAGAAAAAGTCAGTCTTACCAAATTATTTGCACTGAAATAATAGCCCATGAGTCTTGTAGGAAAAAGAAAAATAAATGAGAGCAAATATATGAGCAAGCTGATTAGTATTTGCCAGCTAGAGTGTTTCCAATTATGTTATTGTCAAGGCAGTGATAACATTATCATTGCCTGACATCATTCCAAGTGTAATATCCTTTCTCCCCTGAATAGTTGTTGATCCCGTGGCACTCTGGAGACCAGCAGGGGATGATCACTGTGCTTTCATGTGCTGGCACCTGTGTCCAGGACAAATCCTAGCTCAGGCATTTTCCAGTACTCCCTGGTCCTAAGGGATATACACATCCTACAGTGCTATGAAGTATTTCAGCACAAGAAAAACTGGTTCACTCATATTCACAGATATTTCACCTGTACATTCCTAAAGATGTTGAGAAATTGACAGAACATAAAATCCCACACACTGAACTGGTTTGAGAGTGGAAGTAATATCCTGGAAAATAACTGAGAAAATTGAAAAATTCCAGTCTGATTGCAGTAATTTCAGCTAAAGAAAACAATTCATTTTGAATATGAAAAGACCTTTAAATCTCTCCAAGAAAAAACCAGTTAAACAGAATGCACTCAAATGAGGAAAAAACCCAGACATTTCTAAAAATGGAGGAAGTAGCAGCAATCAGAACATGTGAAAATGATGGATTTAGCAAATGTCTTGATTTTTTCACAGTAAGACTAAGCAAGTTTCTCATCAATAGCACTGATGGAGCATCTGATTGAATTATAACATGTGAAATGCATGAAGTCACAGCATAAAAAAAATATTTTGCTTTTAAGCTCTAGGGCTTTGTTTACCTGCAGATTTCCTAGTGACTGAATTGTGGGAAGCAAGAGAGGAAATAAAACCAAAATAAACCAAGTGTTTACCAAGTAAGATGAATAAGATAAATTGGTCCTAGCACAGAAGTTAAAGAATAATTAAAAACAGTGAAGTAAAACAAATGGGCAAATTATGTTCTCAGATGTGTTACTATTCTGATATACCAGTGTAAACATGTCTATGTGAGCAGATGGATTTACAGCCCTACAAAAAAAAGCATTACCTGCAAGGCCGCTTAATTAGAAACAACTATTCTAGCATAAAGAAGAAAAGAACTGCAGCAAAAAAGTATGTTGCTAAACTCATGGGATGGGACTTTATATATACCCAAAAAAAAAAAAAAAAAAAAAGCACAAAAGCAAAGAGATAGACCCAAGTAATTCTAGCTCTTTGGAGTGAAAATGTAACTTGTGAAGCAAAAAAATACCTTAATTCTCCATTTTTTTTTCATAGCAAATTATTGCTTGTTTTCATAATTACTGTTTGCCATCTTTCAAAGGATCTTTTCTGAACATATTACTTGTCAGCAGGAAACATAACTGAGATCAGGGTATCTTGTGCAATCCTGTCACTGAACTGGTGGTTATCAGTGTGGCACTGCTGTGGCCATCAGTGTCAAAAGGCCCTTGCCAGTACTGTTTAGGGAGCTGGAGGCAAAGGGAAAAGGACAATCCTTTCCTTTATTTCCTTTCCATGAAAAGAGGCTGACTCCAACCGGAGGAGTCCCACCCTTCTCACAGAGCTCAGACAGCCATTGCCCACATTGTCACATTTCCAAGCTCTACACCTTGCCCGGGACAATCAGCTGTCACCATCACTGCTGCTGGAGTCACTAGCTACCAGGGAAAAAGAAAGCCTCTCCTAAGAAAGATTTTCTGAGGACCTGCAGGCAAGACTATTTTCTAATTATTTTGGAAGCAGTAATCTGCAAAAATTTATTATAGGATCACCTTATGCCTTGCCAGGATAACAAAAGGGAGATAAGGATAACAAAATTAAGGGTGACCTCAGTCCAGGAATCACTTAGAAATTCATTGCAAACACCTAAAGGAATGCTTTTGAATATACATTCAGAATCACTACTTGTACAGCTCTAATCCTGGCCTGCTTCAGTGCATTTTACTGTCATTCACCGGAACAATTATTTTATAAAGGCTCAATTTAGGGAAAAAAATGACCCATGGGGTCAACACCCCCAAAGGAAACACTCTTAATCTAAATACATTTTTGAGAAAGTATCAGGTTCTCTCCTTTATAGGTCAGCAAGTTTATTATCACCTTCCTTATCACACCAACAGAAGGGGAACGTCCCACAGCACGGCTGCAGCCACGGTTTCCACACCACGTTGGACACAGAGAGCTGCTCTGGCACTGGAGTCAGGGTCCTGCGATGCTCCTCTACGGCTCTGCCAATCTTCCTTATGACGGTGTCAAAGAAGGGCTCCGTGTCAGCCGAGAGAGGTTTGGCTTCAGAAGGGTCTTGTGAGAGCTCGAACAGCAGTGGAGGCTCATGATGGGCCACTCCTTCCCCAAAACACTGGCAAACTCCTCTGTCATAACAAGCCCCAGCTCCAGGAGGACTGAAAATGGGAGTCATATAGTGAGCCTTCCAAACAGCTCCAGCTGGCAGGAAAGAAAGAATCACAGAAGGCTGGTTATAACAAGGAAGAGTGAATATTTTTCTAGAGTTCATTTCTGGATGCACTTCAGCTCTACACTTAGTAGCTAATGCAGTAATTTCTCCTGTGCTGTGCAACACAGACAATGCCAGTAAGTTTTTTGCCATGTTACACCCGAAAAACTTGGGAAAGCGGAATCCCAGAACAATAATGTGATAGAAAAATGTGCCCTCCGGTAGAGTGAACATCATTGTTTGAGAGAAGCTGTGTGGTGTTGTTCACAGGGGTCCCAGGATGAGGGAAGAGAGGAGAATCTTGACTCCATGTTTCAGAAGGCTGATTTATTATTTTATTATATGTATTATATTAAAAGAAAATTATATACTAAAACTATACTAAAGGAATAGAAGAAAAGATTTCATCAGAAGGCTAGCAAGGAAAGGAATGGAATGATAATAAAATCTTGTGACTGACAGCGAGTCTGAGCCACTTGGACTGTGGTTGGCCATTAATTGAAAACAATCACATGAGACCAATCAAAGATACACCTGTTGCATTCCACAGCAGCAGATAATTATTGTTTACATTTCGTTTCTGAGGCTTCTCAGCTTCTCAAGAGAAAAAGATCGTATCAAAAGGATTTTTCACAAAAGATGTCTGTGGCGAAGCAGTGTACTCACTGTCCTTCTGGTGCCAGCGCACGGCGTGCAAGTGCACGCCGCAGTAATGGAACAGGAACTCGTGCTCCGAGTGTGCCGCCGCTCCGCGCAGCAAAGGCAGCAGGTCCCGGCCGTCCATCACCCTGGCACGAGAAACACACCACAGGGCTGAGGTGAGCTGCACAGGGCTCTGCTCCCTCTGCACACCTCTCCCTGCAGCTGGCAGCTCTGGACAGGAAAGGGGATTGCAGATGATGGCAAGTAGGGGCTGAATCTCTGAGCAAGAGAAGAGGTGACTGAACTCGTAGATATTGATCTGTCTAAAAAATGAGCAGGACTGAAAAAGAAAGCATCAAGCTCTTAGAATGTGTTCCCAAGCTAGATTTTCCATAGTTTTGGGAAAGCAGGAGGAATAAAGATGCATTTGTTTGTACCTGTCCTGAGGAACTTCCCCTCCAGCCAAATGAACTACTGTAGGATAAATATCCATAAGGCTTGTAGGTTCATCAATAACTGTGCCTGCAGGTAACACTCCTGGCCATCTAAATATCCCTGGGACACGGATTCCTCCTTCCCAGCCTCCCATAGCTTTTCCGCCTTTCATTAAATAAAAAGAAAAATCAAAAGAATAAGTTTGATTTAAAATAGTTTTTGCACAAATTTGATTGTATTATCTTGTTACCTTGATGAGCCTTCTTTACTCTCTTGTTTTTGCTGCTAAGCTCCTACTGAGCAGTAGTGAAAATATGTTCAGTAGACTAGAACCCAACAATCTGAGAATTCATGCCTACAAAGGACACCTGCCCAGGTTACAATTTACTCCATTCTTACATGCCTGATTAGAATGAGACATATTTGCTTCTTGGTAATAAACCAGTGTTACCCCTTGAGTGTATAATCTTACTGAAGCCTTAGGGGTGCCTTAATTTCTTTACTAGTTGTTGCTGGGTTGTCACTGTCCCTAACAGCTCTTACCTTTGTATATTCCATTCCAGCCACCCAGCTGCCTTCCACCTTCTTGTCTTTCCAGCCATCCACCATGATCAGAGGCAAAATAAACTAGTGTAGTTTCTCTCAAGCCCTCCTTGTCAATAGCATCAAGAACCTGGCCTGTAAATGCAAGAATATGTGTTTATTAAAAAGCGGAAATATCCCTCATACTACATAAATTTTAACCTCTGACTTGCAAACATTTACCAGTGTAATCATTGTTTAAGATTTTTAAGATTAATATTTTTAGTTATGATTTCATTGTCTTTAAAACCACAGAAAATTTGTGCTGCATTGTCACCACTATTTTATTATTGGTATTTTAAGAGGGAGTGCAAGAACCACGGCCACAGACAAAAAGCCTGTATTGTCAAGGACAAAAAAAATTACCATGTACTGTAAAAATATGGAAAGAAATGATGATCTAAAAGTTAGTGTCTGCATCAGTAGAGGCCATCATGAAAAATATGGAAAAACATAATGTTACCCTTATTTTATGTTTCTAGACCACAGTTAAGATTTGCATTACATTACTGCAGGGATATAATATGCATTACTAATGAGGTGCCTTTAAATTTAAAATTCTTGAGCTGTTTTTTACATCCTTAATTATATTTGCAGTATGTAAATGTTTGACAGGTTTGAAACCAGATTCTTCCTGCAAGTGTACCTGACTTTCCTCTCTTTTGCAAATGTGGCAACCTTTTGTCCATCATGACTGAATGATAAATAATTCCCCTTCCCCTCCAGAAAAACAGCCTGAAAAATAACATTAATCCTATTGTGGGGGGCATACTGGAGAACACTGATGAACATTTCTGGATTTATGATTGTGGCTGAAAAATATCCAGTATTCTGCTTAATGCAGCAGTCACAAATAAATAACCTGCTGTTTTTCATCTGAAATTAATTTGCTTATTGATTTTATCGCTTTCTATCATGTCCTGCTTAGAAATGACCACAAGAGGCTGAATTGACCTGGGCCTTACTAATCATAGAAAATGAAATAATTATCACATATTTAGTAAGAAGAGCAGGAGAGCTCCTTGATAGGAGCTAAGGGAACATGGTTAAAAGTGGTAAACACTTGACCAAAAAAAAAAAAAAAGAGTGAACATTTGGCCCAAGACTAAAGAAAGTAAAAAATCAGCACTATAAGTCAACAGCACTCACACAAGATTGCCAGATGTTCATTAAATGCTTATGATTTTTTTGTACATACTTTTAATAATCTTTCTTGCTTTTTTAATAAAAACTTTTTATTTAGACCTATGTATTTGATAGTTGGAGGCATTGTTATATGTCTTGTTGACTTACCCACCATCCAGTCCATCTCCTCTACATTGTCTCCATATAAACCATGTCTGCTCCTCCCAAGAAACTTCTCTGTGGTGAGGAGAGGAGTGTGGGAATGCAAAAAGGAAAGAAAGAGGAGGAATGGCTTGTGCTTATTTCTACAAAACAGAAATCAACACTGTGTTATCAGGGAGGAAGGCCCTCAATGCAGATCAGTTGTAGTGAAAATGGTATTACTTTTGTATAGATATTTCAACAGTCCCTTCAGAAACACCTTACTTTGTCAGATACTCTAACCCAGTGATAAGGATCCCTTGGAATAATTTTGTGTCCGTATAAAATATCCTTTTTCTACCCTGAATCATAGATAGAAAATTTTGAGATTGAAGTTCCACTTCCTGCTACTGCTAAGCACCACTATGCTACTGAAGTGAAGGCAGCAGGTTCATCTTCTAACACTTATCAGTCCATTAATAAGGCTACATCACAGCTCTGCTTCTCCTTCCCTGGCCCACACACGCATTTCTGATATCACCTGCTATTCCTTCCTAAAGCTGCAATGCTGCTGCCATTGATAGGTATACATATTTCTTAAATATAGCCTAGAAATATTCGATAAACCCATGGAAATTGGCAAGTATTAATCAGCTTTAGTGAAGTTAGGAATAAGGGGTGTCCTTAAGCAGCAGATTTTTTTTAAATTACATGATATGTCTATTTATATTATTTAAATTTAATAAAAATAACAGTACTTATAATCCTACATAATACTGTAAAAATTATAAAAACTTATAAAGACATGAAAGAGGAAAATGATGTTTACAGGTTGCAAAATATCCAGAAAATTGCAGAAGAACCAGAAAATTTGTGGACAAAGGAAGTCTTCACCTTTCAATAAATGAAATGGACTCTCTCAAGATAAGGGACGTAGTTCTGTCTGTCACCATTGGCTGCTCAGTAATTCCATGGTTTCTCATCATAATGCAGTTCCAGTAGCGCACAAATCCATAGCTTGAGAACCAGGATATGAAGAACAGGAGACTGAACACAGCAAGGCAGGTCAGCGTTCTCCAGTGGACTGAAATCAGGCCAGTCAGTCTCCCAAGGACAGCAGTGAGTGTAATGAGCCCAATCATCTGGGTGGAAATCCAGAGTTTCCTCCTGAAGGCTCTGTCCATCTCTGGTGTTTCTGTTGTCTGACAGTCACTTATTAGTGTAAAAGGCATCCCATAGAAGTAGTCAAATCCATGTTTCAAAGGGTGATGGCAGTGGTCATTGCGGGATTCACAGTTAACACCTTGATGCCACTTCCCTGAGAACAGAGGTTATTAAAATATAAAAAGACAATATTTTAATAGAATGGACTTTTCCTTACACAAAACATTTCTGAAAAAGTTGTTGGTTGTTTTCTGCTTGTGGTAACTGCTTCATCCTACACAGAAATATACCAAGTATGCAGTTATATAATGGGATTGACTAAAGTAAACCTCTACAATTTATAAATTTTCAGCACATTTTTTTGTGCTCTGTATATATATTCATGCCCTGTAGCTTCGATCAAGCATTAAAAAACCCCCAAACATTTAAAGGCAACTAGGATTTGAGAAAAGTTTCAAACTGAACAAAAATGTATCGCCTTCCTGGAGAACTGTCAAGTATCAAACAGAAGAAAGCTGTCCTTTTGTAAGCATAGGGGAAAATAACCTTCTTTCATTGTCCCTTTACCTTCCAGGTGCTATGCAGACTTGTTCCTGGGAGGTTTTGAAGTGCTTGGTGTCAGGACTATGGCAAGACTCTGTGTTGGTGCCAGATTGATAAGGGGATATGGATAGAGTAGTTAACTAGCAACTCATCTAACTGCTTGCCAGACAAACCACTGGATCCAGAAAAACTTGAGCTCAGGGAATCAGGACTTCTCATGAAGCTGTATATTTGTAAGTAACTTTGATGATCATTGTATCTCCACATACTGACTGAGAATAAAAGACTTTGTTTTATAAATATTTTGCCATTTATTTGGATTTAATCTTTTTTTTTTTTTAAGTTAGAGCCTACTTCTTTTAAATACTGAACTCCTCATTCATTAGAAGGAACATCTCTTGTCCTTTCACAACACAATTTGTTCTTCATTATGAACATTCCAGCTACTTTCATGAATGGCACATCAAAACCTTGCTTTTGCTTCCCCTCCAGCTTATTCAAACAGCCTGGTTAGGCACTTATGTAGTGACATAGTAAATTGACTCTTTTTGTGCAAACACTGAGGTTTGAGAATGTTTGAACTGAGTGAACAAAATCTACCACTCATCAGAAGCTTAATGGCATTTTTTGCAGATCTTGAATGTCAGATCAAAATGGACATTAAGAACTTTACTCAAGAACTAATTCTTATTGTAGAGAGAGGAACTGTGCACTTCCAGGATGAAGTTATCCTCAATAAATGGTTCAGTATGTTATCAGTACATGCAATAGCAGCCAGTTCTGAGTGAGTTTCAATAGAATTGCAATGTATTACAATAGGAGCAGAAAAACTGCCCCAGGGGAGAAAAATTACTGTTTCTTGGCTGTAAATATAAAGAAAGAATGAAAGTTCTAGAGTAGGTGGATGAATTGCTGTGAGCTAAAATCTCTACTCGGTTTACCTCCTGACATATTTAGAGTCAGCTGTAGAATGAAACAGGTTTGTAATCAATACATAAATGCATTGGTCATAAATACAAGTGCAGCTAAAGTATTGTTGGAATTCAGATGCACTTCAACACCTAAATCTCCAGCTGAGGTCAATAAAGGTTTCTGACATGCTAGAAAAGAATCAAATCTGCAGAAGCTAAACTAAGTGTATAATTAAGATAAATTAATCTCTGAGGGCATTACTTATACAGCATTAGTTTTCTGACTGCAAAGAACCTTCAAAGCCTTTCCCAACAAAAAATCTCATTATCACCTCAGGCTACAGGTTATTAATAGGATTTAACTTTGCAATTAAACTGGTTGTGCTCAGGGCCAAACAATCACAAACAATTCAGGTGAGACTACTTAGTGCTCATTCAGCTGTGGTGACATGACTAGATGTTGTGTTAAGATTTTTTTGCTTCCTGACTTGAATGTAAAATTCTTGTGGTATTCTGTGTGTCACCTATCACTGGTGCTTTCCATCATTCCCCCATGGTGCAATTAATCAGGATCTGTCAATCTGGTTAATCTAAGTGATGCTTTTGGCACCTGTGGTGTGATTTTTAGCTGAGATGCCCACAGGGAAAATGGCTCTCCGTTCTGCTTCTGGGAGGCAAGCTGCAGGACTCCTGCTGCAGGGCAATTCCCTGGGGAGAGTGGAGACAAATCTGATTGTTTTGCTAGCGATAGCATGCTGAAACCAAGATGAAGCATGCACAGTCCGTTCTGTGAGATGATTTAAACAACTAAAGCAATATCACTACAGAACTAACAGGAGATTCAGTAATGCAGTTTTAATTGCTCAGAGGGCTTCTTTTAGTTTTGTCTGACGTGGTTGAGATTTATTCTGTTGAATTAACAGAAATCTATATCTGCAGGAAGTTTCATTAATAAATTCATTTGGTTTGTGCAGCTAATATTTTTATGTGCCAGATACAGAATTGGGATTTTCACATTTCCATGCTTGGTTGAAGTAGGGCAAATAGCTGATGAATCAGCTAGGAATGTTTGTACTTTAGCAGTCTGTGGAACTATGTGACACATCTAAGATATATAATTATTTGGAACAAGATCATGACCAAAAGTTACAACTGTACTAAAAAAAAAAAATAGAGCTATAAAGTAAAATGAAATTCACATTGATGCTGAAGAAGGCAGTGGTTTTGGGCTGTAGTGAAATCTTGGTGAGCTACAGCGACATGCTGTGACTGAAGAAAAAAAAATTGCTTTGTTTGTTTCTGAAAGGCCTAATCTTGTGACACTATTAACTGTCTCTGATGTTTTAAGTAGCAGCTGTTCCCTTTTGTGTGAATCTGCTCTGAAGTGTATAAAACATCATCATGCATATTTAAATGACACTCATATTTTTACTTTTAAAAAATGAAATAGTATTGGAATAAGTATTTTATAGCTGGCATAATAATATTCATGAATAAATACAATTTTCTGTTATGTATTTTAACAACCACAGCTGTACTTGAAAGTAGGTCAAGGGTAAAATTGCCCCCTTCATCATATGCTTGTTCTTTTAAGAGAGGTACTTTTTGGTCAGAGTTTCTATTTATATATTATTCTTAATCAGAAAATAAAAATATTACGACTGAAGTATGAGATTTTACTCATTAAAACAAATGGTTTGAGTGAGATGTTCAGGTGAAACACATGCAAGAGGATCTTTAGGAGAGGAGTGTCCCCATACCTATCAGTCCTGTGCTGTAGCCTTGGTGCTGCAGTATTTTGGCAAAAGTGGTTTCGTTTGGAGGAAGCCCTCCTGAGCCAGCATTCCAAAAAATAACACGGTAATCATTTACAGCATCCATCCCTAAAAATGCAATAAAACCAATCTGAGTCAGTATAAAGGGCTGAGTACTTTTATCCAACATACTTTTTTGTTTCCTGATTTCATTGAAATGGTAGTGTTAAACATTTTTCCTAATGCTGTTTGTTAGGGAAAATGAATCTAGGACCCTAGATGATATTAAGACAGAGCTAAGACCCACCATAGTGCCCATTCTTTCATCTTTGTATCTCATATTGAGACTTTTTTTCTTTAATTTCATTTCATTTGGAATTACATGATTGTATAGGAGATTTTCTATGTTACAGCGGCATCTGGGCTGTATGAAATGCCTTCCTTAGTGTGAATGTGAGGGCAGGGAGGAGCACAAGGCGACTTCAGCCCCCTGTCAGCCTCAGCCTCCAGCTCACCGAGGGCTGCCAGGGAGCTCAGGCTTTCCTTGCACAGTGGCATGGCTGGTATCTCAGCCCCACAGAGTAGCTATCTCCTCTTCACCTGCAAGTTTACACCCTACTATTTAGTATTTTATCCTGGCATAATCCCATCATACAGTGCTATGTAAAGTTCAGTCTGTCATTGTAGCCCTGAACATCTCTGGCCCTGCTGTTACAGAGGGAAGGGGTCTGTACAAGCCCTTTCTAACTACTACTGTTTTCAAACTACCGGTCTCAGTGGAGCTGTCATGATAAAAGTAGGATGACATATCAGCTTCAAAATGCCTCAGGAATGAAGGCTCCGAAGATAATTTGCAATAGAACAAGCATTTGAGGGTTGCTGTTAGAAACATGTAGAGCTATTTGTTTTTCATACCTCTTCATCTCAGGGATGCAGTTTGACAGGGTAGTGTTTTTTCTTCAAAAACACAATTGGGAAAAATAATATTGCTGTCAAACTGTTATCTCCTAGGACAGATTAATTTTGACAGATACGTAAAGAAGTTTTCCCATGAATGACTCATTCTGCACCTTGACTGGAGGGAATGGGCGCACATCTGCACAGGTCTACTCTGCTCCCTGCAGGGCTGAGCTGCTTCTGACATCTGATGATGAGTCACCTCTGACAGAAATTAATTTAACTAGTGCTTTCTAAGTGTGTTGTTACTATTCTTCCTCTTTCACATAATGACTTTTTTGAATGTAACAGTTTGCTCTAACTCCATTCTCACTGCAATCTGTACCACAGAGCATCAAAAGGAAGCCAAAATTGTGCTTTGGGGGAGACCAAGTTGCTCTGCAGAGCTTCTCTGCTCTGCTTCCCCCCAGACCAGTTCACAAATACCCTACAAATAGAGAAGCCTCCTCAAAGCCTGTCTGACACCTCGTGTATCTCAGTGAGGATGGAGTGTCGGACACGCCTGTTTGCACACCCTCATTTCTTCTGTGCCCCTTGTATGATACTGTTCCCTCCATCAGTGGAGCAATGTTTGCAGGGTGTGAGGCTTTGCAAGGCAAACCTGATCGGAGGGGGTATCTGCCAGTGAGGAAAGCTGCTCTGCTGGGCGTGCAGAGCGGGGCTGCCGCGATGTGCTGGGTCAGCTTCACTCCTTCCTTGGCCAGGCCATCGATGTTCGGGGTCCTAAAAATGCAACCAGTGCCACCAGATATCAACCAGAGAGTCTTTGAGTCTTTCAAGGGAATAAGAAATTATATACTTATCTTTATTTTTGGAAGTTTGTTCTATTTGAAGATGGCCAGGAAATATTTTTGTAATTTATTTAAATTTTCTCAAGTGATGGGAAAATATTTTTCTTTTTCTTTCTTCATTAAAAATCAGTATCTGGATTAATTTCAAGATAACTTTTTTTTTTTCCCTTGTCCTGTGAAAAGTCTTGCAGAAATCATAGAATTGTAAAATGGTTTGGGCTGGAAGGGACCTTAAAAATCACAAAATTTCAACCCCCCTGCCATGGGCAGGAACACTTTCCACTAGATGAGGTTGCTCAGTGCCCCATCCAACCTGGCTTGGAACACTTCCAAGGATGGGGTATTCACAGAGCTTCTCCAGACAGCATGTTCCAGTGCCTCACCACCCTCACAGCAAAGACCTTTCATTTCCCCCAGAGCTACCTTTCCTACACTATTTTCTCAAAGAGCTGTGTATCAGCCTCAGTGTATCAGTGTAATGGTAATTGGGTTGCCACAGGGTGACAGTGCTTGACTAGACAAGATGCTCCATGACTTACAGTGCCGATAAGGAAGCTAACAAGGTGCTTCTCATGACATTTGTATCGAGGGGGAAGGAGAAAAAGGGAAAGGAATCCTGCATGTTTTCACACTGTGTGGCAATCTCTCAGGGCAGCATGAATTAAGCCACACATCAGTAAGTAGGTGTGAAGAGGGTATTTTGCAAACAACTGGCAACCAAGAAAAGCAAGCTTGCCTGGCACACTAGTTACAGACAAGGTAATATCTTACATTTCACAATACAATATCCCCCTGTTCCAAGTCAAGGTGTGCCGACTTATATTTTAAATTAGATTGAGCTTCAGTTTTACAATTTTGTTTTTTGCAATTATCAGTTCAATGGTGTTCACAAGAAGGCAAGACCTTCATTACAATTTTGAAAGATCCTGGATGTTTTGTACTTGCTTTGTACTTGTTATGGATTTCTCCCTCAAAGACAGCTGCCAGGAAACAACATCTGCAGCATTTCTTATTCTCTACAGCCTTTTGCCAGAGGTGCAATCCAGGGTAACTGGGCAGAGCCATTGGTGAAGTTCCAGCCTTCAGCACAATTGCCATCTCAGTTAGCTGATTTGGGTGCTCCCAAACTGCTGTTTCAAATCCTGC